CTTACCATATACACATGCACACAACCAACTTAATGAAGACACGCCACAGTCACATGTCCAAAGGAAAAATAAACAAGAAACACTACCATTATAACTACAACCCATGGATATACAGTTAGATAAGGCAGAACCATGAACAGATATACGGAACAAGGACAGATAAGGTAGCTTGGACAGGGAAACTATGAATCCCTACCACAGTCACTCTACCAAAATATAAGATTAGCGAGCCCACAGGTAACTGACATGATACGTAGCTACCACAAACATATCGCATACGATGTCACCCTTCATAGGTTCCCATATCCATCACGAACACCCACAAACGCGCTAGGGAGAGCTTGTGGCTGACCGACCATGTAATATAAATACACCCTGAGGGGTAATGATAGGAAATATGTGCAAGTTAACCAATATAAACTGAGCCGTGGTTGTCTAGAATGCCGTGATTTAAGACGGCGACGGAGTTGTTCCCAGGACTGAATGTTATGATTGTTACACATTTGAACATAATGTAGCAGATACACACAGGTCGGACGTGACCAAATGGTTTGATGTAAAAGTTTTACCTTCACTGCCCGACACAGATGCCCCGGACTTCCTCTCTGCCATCACTAAGATAGATTTAGCCAGGAAACCAGTCATGGGCACTGCATTAGCTGACACTCTCAGCCTATCATTGGCCACCAGGCTAAACCATTCTCATACAGGAGTAAGAGACTTTAGGAGTGGAACCATTGTAAGAAGGTTTAACCTCTTAAGATAAGACACTATAGGCGTAAGTTCCTCTTGGAGTGCTCCTTTAAAGTAGCATGTGTGATCTGCTGTAAAATCCACCAGGTTGAATTAGAAATGTTAAACTTATAAGGTATCAGATTTTCTGAAATTAACCGCAACCTGAAATGTCTAGTTTTCTATCTGCTCTATACCTGAAGAAGACAACACAGATTAAATTGATTAGCTTCAAACATATTTATATACTCCTAATTCTAAAGATTAAATCCACCAGCATGGTTACAAGCGCAAACACAATACCTTATTGTGTGAGCACCATAGACATTATTGTAGACAACATTTTTACTATAAGGCTGCACTGTTTGAGCAAAGCATTGGAAAGTGTACTACGTAACTTCGAACGAAGTACAAATGAGTAGTTACGTATTGCTGTGTTCTCACACACAGAGCTAGCAGTGTCTCTCTCTCACACAGAGCTAGCAGTCTCTCCTCCTCACACAGAGCTAGCAGTCTCTCTCTCTCACACAGAGCTAGCAGTCTCTCTCTCTCACACAGAGCTAGCAGTCTCTCTCTCTCACACAGAGCTAGCAGTCTCTCTCACACAGAGCTAGCAGTCTCTCTCTCTCACACAGAGCTAGCAGTCTCTCTCTCTCACACAGAGCTAGCAGTGTCTCTCTCACACACAGAGCTAGCAGTGTCTCTCTCACACACAGAGCTAGCAGTGTCTCTCACACACAGAGCTAGCAGTCTCTCACACACAGAGCTAGCAGTCTCTCACACACAGAGCTAGCAGTCTCTCTCACACACAGAGCTAGCAGTCTCTCTCTCACACACAGAGCTAGTAGTCTCTCTCACACACAGAGCTAGCAGTCTCTCTCACACACAGCTAGCAGTCTCTCTCTCACACACAGAGCTAGCAGTCTCTCTCACACACAGCTAGCAGTCTCTCTCTCACACACAGAGCTAGCAGTCTCTCTCACACACACAGAGCTAGCAGTCTCTCTCACACACACAGAGCTAGCAGTCTCTCTCACACACACAGAGCTAGCAGTCTCTCTCACACACAGAGCTAGCAGTCTCTCTCACACACAGAGCTAGCAGTCTCTCTCACACACACAGAGCTAGCAGTCTCTCTCTCTATCACACAGAGCTAGCAGTCAGTCTCTCTCTCTCTATCTATCACACAGAGCTAGCAGTCAGTCTCTCTCTCTCACACACAGAGCTAGCAGTCAGTCTCTCTCTCTCACACACAGAGCTAGCAGTCTCTCTCTATCACACAGAGCTAGCAGTGTCTCTCTCACACAGAGCTAGCAGGGTCTCTCTCACACAGAGCTAGCAGGGTCTCTCTCACACAGAGCTAGCAGTCTCTCTCACACACACAGAGCTAGCAGTCTCTCTCACACACAGAGCTAGCAGTCTCTCTCACACACAGAGCTAGCAGTCTCTCTCTCTATCACACAGAGCTAGCAGTCTCTCTCACACACACAGAGCTAGCAGTCTCTCTCACACACAGAGCTAGCAGTCTCTCTCACACACAGAGCTAGCAGTCTCTCTCTCTATCACACAGAGCTAGCAGTCTCTCTCTCTATCACACAGAGCTAGCAGTCAGTCTCTCTCTTTCTATCACACAGAGCTAGCAGTCAGTCTCTCTCTCTCACACACAGAGCTAGCAGTCAGTCTCTCTCTCTCACACACAGAGCTAGCAGTCTCTCTCTATCACACAGAGCTAGCAGTGTCTCTCTCACACAGAGCTAGCAGGGTCTCTCTCACACAGAGCTAGCAGGGTCTCTCACACACAGAGCTAGCAGTCTCTCTCTCACACAGAGCTAGCAGGGTCTCTCTCACACAGAGCTAGCAGTCTCTCTCACACAGAGCTAGCAGTCTCTCTCACACAGAGCTAGCAGGGTCTCTCTCACACAGAGCTAGCAGTCTCTCTCACACACAGAGCTAGCAGTCTCTCTCTCACACAGAGCTAGCAGGGTCTCTCTCACACAGAGCTAGCAGTCTCTCTCTCTATCACACAGAGCTAGCAGTCTCTCTATCACACAGAGCTAGCAGTCTCTCTATCACACAGAGCTAGCAGTCTCTCTCTCACACAGAGCTAGCAGTCTCTCTCTCTATCACACAGAGCTAGCAGTCTCTCTCACACACAGAGCTAGCAGTCTCTCTCTCTATCACACAGAGCTAGCAGTCTCTCTCTCTCTCACACACACACACACAGAGCTGGGGAGTTCATACACGGCTGGCGGGCAGTCATGGCGTTCAAAGCTTTATTTATAAACCAAACGGACAGTGAACACGCGGAGCCTGGCTGGCAGCACGCTGACTAAGCCGGACTGTAACAGGTACTAACCCCCGCTTCCCGTCGCCTGCGTCACGTGAGTCCCGTTCCTCGGTGAAGAAACGGAGAAAAACAGGAAATACGTCTACTTCCGGCGGCGGAGCACCACTTCCGGCGTGCAGTGTGGGCAACTGGCCTCACAATTTTTGACCAGGGCTTGTAGGCCACGCCCACAGAGCAACCGTAGCCAATCAACGTAGAGCGCCAGACCCGCTTTATCTATCAACCAATCACCTTCACAAACTGTCTGTAGCGCGCGCTGGGGCAATTACCCGCCTTTACAGGGGAGGGAGGGAGAGAGAGAGAGAGAGAGAGAGAGAGAGAGAGTGTGTGTGTGTGTGTGTGTGTGTGTGTGTGTGTGTGTCTGTGTGTCGCAGTAATAGTCAGTGATGTGAGAGAGTGTGTGAGTGAATGAGAGTCAGTGATAGTGAGTGTCAGTAATGTGAGAGAGAGTGTGAGTGAATGAGTCAGTGATAGTGAGTCAGTAATAATGTGAGTGTGAGTGAATGAGAGTCAGTGATAGTGAGTCAGTAATGTGAGAGAGTGTGTGAGTGAATGAGAGTCAGTGATAGTGAGAGAGAGTGTGAGTGAATGAGAGTCAGTGATAGTGAGTGTCAGTAATGTGAGAGAGTGTGAGTGAATGAGAGTCAGTGATAGTGAGTCAGTAATGTGAGAGAGAGTGAGTGAATGAGAGTCAGTGATAGTGAGTGTCAGTAATGTGAGAGAGAGTGTGAGTGAATGAGTCAGTGATAGTGAGTCAGTAATAATGTGAGTGTGAGTGAATGAGAGTCAGTGATAGTGAGTCAGTAATGTGAGAGAGAGTGTGAGTGAATGAGAGTCAGTGATAGTGAGTCAGTAATGTGAGAGAGAGTGTGAGTGAATGAGAGTCAGTGATAGTGAGTGTCAGTAATGTGAGAGAGTGTGAGTGAATGAGAGTCAGTGATAGTGAGTCAGTAATAATGTGAGTGAATGAGAGTCAGTGATAGTGAGTGTCAGTAATGTGAGAGAGAGTGTGAGTGATAGTGTCAGTAATGTGAGTGAATGAGTCAGTGATAATGTGAGAGTCAGTGAGTGATAGTGTGTGTGTGAGTGTAATAGTGAGACAGTGTGTGTGTGAGAGTGTGACAGGGAGAGAGATTGTGTGTGTGTGTGAGACTGTGTGTTTGTGAGACAGTGTATCAGTGAGTAACGAGTGAGAGAGAGTCCATGATCGCGTGTGTAGGAATGGGAATAAATAACAGTGGATATAGACATTACATTTACTTAATTTCACATTTTAATAAAGTGCTTGATTCATTTTATAATATTGTTCATTATTTTCATTGGTATTTCAGTTCAGTCCATGGCGATTTCCTGATAGGACAGCAGCTATGATCCTCTGTCCATAGATAGTACACGAGAACCCCAATTAACAGACACAGGACATCACCCTAATGAACATTCAACGGTTTCTACCACTAATTATAAACCCCGTCTTTGTAGTGCTCTTAACATACAGATAAATGTAGTATGGTAGATAAATGTAGTTTCACAAAGTAATAGACTATTGAGACTATTTGTAGATAGTCATATGATAATGTCTTCATAATTTGATCAGTTCGTTGTTTTGCCCCATGTCTCCACTGGAACATTTGTCTGGAAGCTATTACCATCATCTACAGACTAAGTACATGAGAATTGCACAGCTCTTTTACACCCCCCCCCCGAAACTCTTGCACAATTTAAAACATTTAAAAATGAATTGGTTCTTTTTAACCTAAAAACTCCAATCCCTGACTGTAATGAAAAACTGGTCATAGTGTCCATTTCATCTTCTATTTTGCAAGTAGCAATAAGGCACTTCAGGGTCCATGAGTGGAGGTATAATGCCCGCACATCACCATCAGAGTCGCAGCATTTAACGTACTTGGGAGAACAGTTGAGGTTACATAAAAAGCCCACCTGTATATAAAAAACAAAAAGCAACAATCTAAGCAAGTAGTATAATGCATTGAGCATATAAGCAACAACAGCAATAAATAAAGTACAACCTGATCTATAACCTGGTGCTGTGCAGTACACTGCAATATTCTTGTTATTACACTGTGGGATCAGCCTTGTTTGTGGCATAAAATTACACAAATTAGCTGGAATTTCCTGACTTGGACATATCCCAGGACTTCTTCTCACATGGAAATTTATAAACTGTGTGGCTGCACAAAATGTGGGTTTAGGGTGTAAATTATAAATGGTAAAATATGCTAAAGAGTTATGAAAAGTCCTAAACACTAATGATTATCATATAAAAAGAAAAAAAATACAGGGAGTGCAGAATTATTAGGCAAGTTGTATTTTTGAGGATTAATTTTATTATTGAACAACAACCATGTTCTCAATGAACCCAAAAAACTCATTAATATCAAAGCTGAATATTTTTGGAAGTAGTTTTTAGTTTGTTTTTAGTTTTAGCTATGTTAGGGGGATATCTGTGTGTGCAGGTGACTATTACTGTGCATAATTATTAGGCAACTTAACAAAAAACAAATATATACCCATTTCAATTATTTATTATTACCAGTGAAACCAATATAACATCTCAACATTCACAAATATACATTTCTGACATTCAAAAACAAAACAAAAACAAATCAGTGACCAATATAGCCACCTTTCTTTGCAAGGACACTCAAAAGCCTGCCATCCATGGATTCTGTCAGTGTTTTGATCTGTTCACCATCAACATTGCGTGCAGCAGCAACCACAGCCTCCCAGACACTGTTCAGAGAGGTGTACTGTTTTCCCTCCTTGTAAATCTCACATTTGATGATGGACCACAGGTTCTCAATGGGGTTCAGATCAGGTGAACAAGGAGGCCATGTCATTAGATTTTCTTCTTTTATACCCTTTCTTGCCAGCCACGCTGTGGAGTACTTGGACGCGTGTGATGGAGCATTGTCCTGCATGAAAATCATGTTTTTCTTGAAGGATGCAGACTTCTTCCTGTACCACTGCTTGAAGAAGGTGTCTTCCAGGAACTGGCAGTAGGACTGGGAGTTGAGCTTGACTCCATCCTCAACCCGAAAAGGCCCCACAAGCTCATCTTTGATGATACCAGCCCAAACCAGTACTCCACCTCCACCTTGCTGGCGTCTGAGTCGGACTGGAGCTCTCTGCCCTTTACCAATCCAGCCACGGGCCCATCCATCTGGCCCATCAAGACTCACTCTCATTTCATCAGTCCATAAAACCTTAGAAAAATCAGTCTTGAGATATTTCTTGGCCCAGTCTTGACGTTTCAGCTTGTGTGTCTTGTTCAGTGGTGGTCGCCTTTCAGCCTTTCTTACCTTGGCCATGTCTCTGAGTATTGCACACCTTGTGCTTTTGGGCACTCCAGTGATGTTGCAGCTCTGAAATATGGCCAAACTGGTGGCAAGTGGCATCGTGGCAGCTGCACGCTTGACTTTTCTCAGTTCATGGGCAGTTATTTTGCGCCTTGGTTTTTCCACACGCTTCTTGCGACCCTGTTGACTATTTTGAATGAAACGCTTGATTGTTCGATGATCACGCTTCAGAAGCTTTGCAATTTTAAGAGTGCTGCATCCCTCTGCAAGATATCTCACTATTTTTGACTTTTCTGAGCCTGTCAAGTCCTTCTTTTGACCCATTTTGCCAAAGGAAAGGAAGTTGCCTAATAATTATGCACACCTGATATAGGGTGTTGATGTCATTAGACCACACCCCTTCTCATTACAGAGATGCACATCACCTAATATGCTTAATTGGTAGTAGGCTTTCGAGCCTATACAGCTTGGAGTAAGACAACATGCATAAAGAGGATGATGTGGTCAAAATACTCATTTGCCTAATAATTCTGCACTCCCTGTACTTCTCAAAGAAAATGTGCCACTTCCTATATAAACAAATACCAATAAAAACATTATTATAGAAGGGATTTTTCTTTTACCGGTCACTTCAATGCTGGCCCCTGTGATATACTTGCTGTCATCCGATGCCAGGAACGCACAAACATCAGCAATATCTGGAAAGTGTGAAATAATTGACAAGATGTATCAAGGCCCAAACTGGCTGTTACAACTTTACATGTTTATATTTCCAATTTAAAATGGATTTCAACGCAATGATTAGCAAAACGCATGTAGATTAGCAAATACACACAGATCTCTCCACAATACTTTAAAAACACACTCAATGAATTGTCCTTTAAAAATACAGCACACAGGGCTAAATAGTAACTTTACCTTCAGGTTTACCAAGTCTGCCCATAGGAATGGATCCCGAAATCTGTAGAGACAGGGGCGTATTAGAAGGAAATATAATGTAACAACCTGTACTTAAAACTAGAGAAAAGTAAACCCATCACTTTTCTGCAAATCCCACCACTGAATAAGAATTAAAAAAAAAAAAAAAATCACTTATAACTTGTGTTAATCTTATTTTCATGTTATGCTATGTTCTTTTTAATGTATATTAAAGAAACACTCCAAATACCATAACAGCTCACTGTAGTGGTTATGGTGCCTATAATGCCCTGCTCCCTCTCCCATTGTAAGGAGTCTGCTGGACCTGCTCCCTATCTCTAGAGAACTGGAAGTTCCTAAGTAAGACGATCCTATGTAGGAAATTCCAATAGCTCTTTTGAGCAAACAAAGTTCCTGCTTAGGAATTCAAGCTCTCCAGAGAGAGACACCCAGCAGACCCAGGTAAGAAGTCAAACCATTCAAAACCAGTTTGATTCCTTACAATGATGGAGGCGTGCTTCGAGTGTTCCTTTAAATTCACATCCAGTTCAGTCATGGTACCACTACCACACATTGCATTGGAGGAGAGGAAACAGAAATGTTGATGGTTCCCCTTGAAGAGACTGGATCAGCCAAAGGTTTTATTATGAATGTTATGGGAAGAAAGTAAGCACAATGGGACAAGAAACCTGTTTAATCCATGACTCATAGGGTTAAAGTGTTTTCCGGTTGCAGTCACAGGCAACTGGTGAGACCTAGGTTAACTGTTCTAAAACAGTTTTGACTACTTGCCAGGGAATACAATAAAACAGAGAGGACCCAAGGATTTAGCACTACCCAGTATTGGTCACCTTATCTAATACTTTCTGCGGGACTTTATCAGTCATCGGTGTAGAGATGAATCCTGGCAGCACAGTATTACACCGGATCCCATACCTGAGAAAAGACATTAAGTAAATGAAAAATTAATTAGTTTTAAGAACACTCCAAACACCTAAAGCACTTTAGCTTGCTGAATTGCTTTATCTGTGAAGAGTGTGTCCGCTTTTCTGATTTTAGAATAAGTGCAGAGTTCAATTAAAAATGGGCAGTTTTATACATTAACCTGGTTACATCCCCTCGGTTGTCAATCAGACAAGCAGCCCTGTTACTTCCTGGTTTGGCTAGCTCAGTGGAGCTAAACTCAAGAGGTAGCTAAATGCCCAGAGCACCTGCCTTGCAAAGATTTCTCATTGAGTTGTTTGAGATTTGACAGCCTCAGAAAGTCTGGGCTGGGGAAAATGAATCTGCAGCTTTTGTAAGTGGTTTTAGATATACCCAAAATGAAAAAATGCATGTTTTCATTGTGGGAATATCTACTAAATAGTCATTTGTTTGACAGTGGTGTGTCCCTTTAAGAGAATGAGATATAGCTGCATGAGATTTGCCTTCCTGCAGTGAAGATTAGTTGAGATATAAGCAGTGCTGGCCTGTGCAGGAAACAAAGTAGCAGGTAAGGCCTATGCTTTCATGCTGGAAAAAAGAAAGACAATATGGACTAAATCTGCACTGTTAAGGTCATCCAACACTGCCAGATGGAGGAAATTAAGCCTGACTTACCTTGCAAGCTCCTTGGCAGCAGTTCTAGTCAGCCCCTCGACACCAGCTTTAGATGCAGCATAATTACACTGCCCAAGGTTTCCCACCTGCAAGAATTAGGGTGTTAGAAACAGATTTTTCTATATTTCATGATTTTAATAACAAAAACTGGAAAGGGAAAGTGTATGGAACAAATACATTAGAATACTATAATTATTGATACATCAATCCTCTTCAAACATGAAGTATGAATGCATTTTTTAAACAAACAACATTTTTTTGTCCTACCTTCCCAACAATACTTCCAATGTTGATGATGGAGCCTTTGTTTTGTCCGTTGGCTACAAGAGCTCGAGCCACAGCTTGTGTAATAAGGAATGGACCCTAAAATAAAAAAGGGAAAAAGGCAAAGAGTAAGAATCATGCAGTTTACATTAAAAGGGAAAGACATCTAAAGACTCCTTGGAACGATGCACAGGTGAAAAACAGGAGTTATGACAAAAGACTGATTCCTTAAACAATCAATTTCAGCAAATTACATTTGAATGGCAAAATTGAGGCTAAAATAGCTGTGTTGTGACTGCGGCTGATTTGGGCGAATCTTTCTAAAATCAGGGATTTTAGTCTCCATTTGCCATTTAAATTGAATTCGCTAACACTCAGTGTTCGTGAATAATCTTGTAGAATGGCAACTTGGTCAATGCTTACTCGGACTCCAAATATGCTCATTAACACCATTACCTAGGAAACCTAATATACATGTGATGGCATTCAAAACAATCTGTGGACCAGAAGAAAAGGAAATAAAATAAAATATGGCAGGAATGCTTTAACACAAATGGAGAGGGATGAAACCATAAAGAATAAATTGAATTGATTCTATGACACATTTAAAAACATTGCAGCAACAAAGAATTAGGTTTTCGCTTTAAAGCTGCTAGGCTATTCAGTACGGTTAATGTTCCTGTTGTACACTTAAAAGATACTGAGGCAAGGAATCTTGTTTTGGAATGACACTGCACCAGTAAAAGATAGGACTGCAGAGTGTAAGGTTATGTTTTAGTCACCTTGAGGTTGACACTCAACACAGAATCAAAGGATTCTTCTGCCAAGTGAAGAAGGAATTCATCTCGAGTGATTCCCGCACTGCTGACAGCAATACATGGTGACCGTGAGTATTGAGCCTGAGGAGGAAAGAGGGACAATTAGAACAGTGTAACTTTTGCATTATATCAATTTTTATTTGCGACCTGTATCTCACACTTAACCTGTATCTGCTCTATTAAGGCACTGACACTCTGTGATTGAGAGACGTCAACTTGAAAGGCTGTGTGCGCCTGTCCCACAAGTCCATGACAGAGACTCTGTAGTGTATCTTTGGCTGAATCAATATTTACATCAACCACAGCCACTGAAGCTCCTTCTAGAGACAACCTTTGAGAGATGGCTCGTCCAATCCCACTACCTCCACCTTGAAAATATTAAGAGTTCAGTTCAGACTTGTTGATTCTTTGGTGAGAACTTTTAATAAACATACAATCTGAATCAATGCTTCATAAATACAGATGCAGGGAAATACGTTTAATTTAACACGCATGAATGTTATGTGACTGTAATTCCAGACTCCTTAGAATGTGTCAGAACAGTAACCTCAAGAGAGAAGGAAACAGTACAAGATTAATTCATATTACAAACCATGTAAGATCTGATACTGATTAACAAATCTTTGAAGGGAGAATTAGAGTGATCACATCTGCTAATATGAAAGGAATCATTATAAAAGATGCAATTCAAGCAGGACAGCAAAGCTTTCAATTTAGCTCTCCAATATGACCAAACCACCATACAAATCACTAATATATATTTTTTTATATCTCTGTGATATATATATATATATATATATATATATATATATATATATATATATATATATTGTGGACAAAAAGCCTCCTACCGAAAAAGATTAGAACCCGGTGCTCGATTGCACAATAGATATAAAACAAATAAATAATCAGCACTCCCAGGGTTTGTAAATAACCCAAAAAATACTTTACTCCGTAAGTCAACGTTTCAGCTCCTCTTGGGAGCTTTCATCAGGACAGCATACAGTATGCTGTCCTGATGAAAGCTCCCAAGAGGAGCTGAAACATTGACTTACGGAGTAAAGTATTTTTTTGGTTATTTACAAACCCTGGGAGTGCTGATTATTTATTTGTTTTATATAAAAATAATCCACAATATCCTTGCACACTGGCGCCAAAGTAGTTAAACCGGGTGCTTGCAATCTGGGGAGATTACACATACCAATAGAGAAGATGACCAGCACTCTCGGATTCCAATAGGTAATTAAAAGTTATAAACTTTATTCATCCATCTTTAAAAATAGCTGTTCAGCGTTTCAGTCCACGTTTGGGACTTTCAAACGTGGACTGAAATGTTGAGCAGCTATTTTTAAAGATGGATGAATAAAGTTTAACTTTTAATTACCTATTGGAATCCGAGAGTGCTGGTCATCTTCTCTATTGGTATACATATATATATATATATACATATATATATATATATATATATATATATATATATATATATATATATATATATATATATATATATATATATATACCAATAGAGAAGATGACCAAACATATATGATATATATATATATATATATTAAAAAAACAATAGATGTGGACTCCCTAATATGGCAGAGTAATTGAGGCTTTTCCTCCTTTTCCCAAAACAAAACACTGCAGGATTAAGAAAGCCAACCTGCAATATGTTGGGCACATTGAAGTTTTAGTTGAGATGTACAAACAAACATAAAAATGTATAAAATTACTAAATAAAATTAAAAAAAACAAACAACATAATTTGGGGCAACATAGCATTCAAAAAATCTGTTGTTCTCCCACATACTTCACAAACTGTCAACAGGCAACCCCTAGATTGACTTTCCTTGAGGGCTGTGCTATTTAAAAAGTCTTGACACTACTCTATCTATACTTAGAAGAGCTATGATCTAAGACTATTTATATCAATATCCCCTTTTACAATGGTACTGCCAGCCCTCCTACCACATTAATACATTGAGTACCCTCACCCCCCTTAATTGTCAGAGAACCAGACTAGAGGCTATATCAGTCCCTGTTAATTCCTGCTGTTCTATCAGTTTCTCAATATCACAGGAAACATAGCTTGGAGCAGTTCCATTGTCAGCCATTACTGATACCTTGAGTAAACTATTCTCAGTTCCATTGTGCCTGTACAAACCCCATCCCCTGCAGCATGTATCTGCCACCATGTGTTAATGCCATTATTGCTGCTAATTCATAATATTCATTGACCTGTCACCAGAGCCAGCCTGGACTTCAACCTGAAGGTGGCAGCCATGACACCGGATATAGCTGTACCATAGAGAAGAATAAGAAACCGCCAGGTACAAACCATAGAGCGAGGGGGAGAGGGAGAGAGCGGCAAGCCAGTGATTGGCCTTGTATAGGGGGCTGAGCTGGCTTCATTAGCTGTGTTGGTCTGCACTGCAACTCCTATAATACTCTGCCAGACTTTGCTGGACTACAACTCTCATTACTCCCAGCCAGTGTGCAACTCCTTCACATAAACTGACCCCTAGATAGTGTTTGGGTTAGGGCTGCAGCATGGATGCAATAATTAAAATATATTTATAATGCTCCACGCCCTATAGGTTGCCACATTACTAGCCCAATGTAGAAATTACTCTCCTTCACTCCCCCACATGGATTTACAGGGTGGGGGTTATAGTTAAAAAGTGTTGACATTTATAATGGAAGATATCCATCACATTGAATAATTCATAGATCCCCAGTGTTTTAAAACTACAGATTCCATGATGCTTTGCCATTCTAAAGTCATTCAAAGTATCATGGGAGTTGTAGTTCTACAACACCTGGGTCGCTACCTTTTGGGCACCCCTGATTTAGACTGTAGGATTGTTTGAGCAGTGTCCTCATCATTCTAGTGTTCCGGTAACATTTTGTAACTGTCTTGTTTATTGTTAAATTTCCCCCTTTTATAATAATGTAAATCGCTGCGGAATACGTTGGCGCTATATAAATAATAAAAACATTAAACAATAATAATTTATTTTAATACATTTTTTTTTTTTTTTTAAAGATGATGGGTTATACGTAAAAGACGTATCTGGCTGCTCACAATGAAGAGGTAGTGAGAAAAGAGTGCAATGTTTTGGCAGAAAGCAGAGGTATTCCAGTTGAGGTAAACTGTTGTACAGCTCTATGGAATATGTTGGTGCTTTATCAATATGGAAATGGAGGTATATTCAGGAAAAAATGAAATTCAGTTATTAGAAAACTGAAAAAAAAGTCCACAAGTTGGAGAAATATACTTCTCCGTACTGAATAAAAACCGTAATATATATAGGATGGAAACTCACGGTTATTCTCTAAATCTGCAATATTTACCACCTGTTTTTAGATACATCTCCAATGAAAAAAATGCATTATTAAAAATATGCATGTTTCCACTTTGGGTATATGTACTAAACATGTATTTATTTTTTATTCTGGAGCGAAGCATTCCTTCAATATTCTTTCAATACTTCCAGATCTTTTCAAATGCACTTAGTTTAGACCAGCTGCCCTGGTATCTTTACATTTGTGCTGACATGTTAAATGTTTAATTTATTAAACACTAAATTATAGCAAACTGAAACCCATTTTTAAAAATATAGTGAAAATGTGGCTAAACTGAAAAACTCCCCAATTCAGAAATAGTTAAAGTTTGACAATTTTAGCTTATATTTGCCATTCATATATTCATTTAATAGCATTTATATTTTAGTGATTACATTCTCCTGATTCCCAAGGCATTGGGAGGCAGGTGTCATTTCTTAGCAATGGAAAATGCTGTATGTTGATGATGAATAATAAAATAGCATTAAATCTCCCATTAACACCATCATCCAACTTGCTGTTGATGTCATCTCAGAATTTTCAGGGGGTTATGAGGAAGACCTGCTGCTAAGGTCAAAACGCGTAGTGCCTGTTTGTTATTTGAATAAAGAAGGTTTACTTACCTTATTCCGGGTTTCTGTATTGCCATCCAGAGATATACTATTACCTTCCAGGCCACCTGCATTTTTTCCCAGCATTAACCTTGGATTGATGAACATGCCATTATAGTTTAGAGTCGACTCATATGGCTCTAACATTGTGAGCGTTCCAAGTTATTCTTCATTCTAACCGTGTTTAGATATATTACTCTATGATGTTTTTTTATGTCTGTTACCCCCAGGTATAACGTGCGAATTTACTAAAGACCATTGGGTGCTCAAACTACCTTTTCCTTTCTATACAAGCATTTATGTAAATGTTCTTAGTGACAAAACACTTGGGTGAGTTTAGTCGCACTGGGTTTTTTCACATATTATCTACCTATTGGATTTTTAGCGCCACTTCCTTTTTTTTTTTTTTTTTAATGCGGGCGGTTGTAAGGATCCTGAAACAGCTATTTGCACTACCCAAATTGCAAGACTTGTTACTTTGCATATTCCAGTTGATTTGCATATTATGATTTCTGCAGGCAGGGGAGATATCTTGTGTTAGCTATTGTCTTCCCCACCCCTTTATAAATGTTACTATTAATATGAGTTCTTGTATGGTTTCCCCATATAATTTAATCATTTTGAGTTTGTCACCGTAAGCTTGATGTAATTAGCATATGGCTAGTCCGGAGTAAACATAAAGTTGAACATATTAACACCCTTTGGAACTGTGTGTCCTGGTTGGCTATTTGGGGATCCCAATATCAGAGTCTTTGGACCTGTTGGCTGGCTGCTTGGTAGCTAAGAAGCGACAAGTGCCGGGGACAGGGCCTGACTGCCATGGAGGGAAGACGTGCCTTGCTAGAGCTGCTCACTAGACTCAGCTAAAAAGGCATTTCTCACCCACAAAACACACTACAGCAATATTTTAAAAGACTTACCAGCTATCAATCCCCACGGTGAACCGGTGATACGGCCCGTGAGCGGACACCAGACAGCCAGTAATACCCACAAGGGCATACGGCCTGCCATGCGCCGGATGGGAGAAGCGGCCGACCTCCCACCCTGGGGCTACCCGGAGACAGACTGCTACAAGCGGGTACGCCGCAACCCCCCCCTCCTTGGACCAGCGGGGGTGATCCCGGGCCACCCCCGGGGGTCCTCTCCAACATGGCTGAAACCACAGGAAGGCGTGCCGGAGAGCCGAAGGGCCTACCTAATATGGCGGAGACCACGCAGTCTTCAAACAGCCACGAGGTACAACACGACCCAATGTCCAATCTGGACCGAATCTTTGCAGACTTCTGGCTGAAGCTCGAGCACAAACTGCAACAGGGGGCCCTAAAACGGCGGGAAACCGCTCACCACGAAAGCCACCACTCACCCCACAGCCAGCAATTCCAACAGAAAACAAAGATGTAAGATGGCTGTGGAGGGTTCAGCACTCACCTCTCCCACGCCAAGCAGTAAAGCAGAGGGGACCGTTGAAACCAAGCACGGGACCTCCTCAAGTACCCACGACATCAGGTGTGACCCTGCTCTAGCCACACAGTCCAGCTACTCGACCCCAAATGAACCCAAGTAACTGCGGCACCTCAACGAGGCAACATGAGCACCCTCAGCAGGGAAGTACCCAGTCCCCACGAGGCATAGAGTGAACCACCCAGGGGATATCGAGACGCTGGTTTCCTAGCTGGGAGACCTCACACAGCACCCTGAGCCACAGCACGAACCCGCAATCTTAAAGGCACATTTCTCTACTTGCCAGCCAGCTGGGAGAGGGACTTATGCCTGGGGGACCCTAGAGGACTTTAGTATAGTATTTGTTTCTTACATAAAGAATCATTCATTTACATCTGCCTAGCATGTCCTATACGCATAAAACATTTTATATTGTAATCTTAAGTTCTTTCAAATTTTTTTACAACACTCAATAGGCATGCGTTCAAATAGTCAGCGATAGCTCTATTGCATGCTCGAGTCATATTCTTGTTTAAATATACATATGCAAGGTTAGCCATGCTTTAGGACTTCCAAGTACTTAATCTTCTCTCACCTAGCGTAACTCGTTGCAAACTAACAGCGTGAACTAGACCTATATTCTATGCATAAACGTGTGTAGTCAGATACTAGGTGAGGAATGTTTAGCTCAGTTAAGAAATGCAAAGTCCTAGCCTGCTGAAACTCTCACTGTGACTACTAGGGAGAACGTGTATGTAAGCTGAGCTACTGTCTCTCTTTGTCTAGCATAGTTTATATGAAGCTACAGACATAATCCTGTATACTTATCTACCTTAACCAAAAAAAAAAAAACAGTGCAATGTTTCTCTTTAATGCCATATGTCTAACTGTTTAAACGTGTATACAATCTTGGTTGCACCAGCTGTTGTGGCAGTGCAAATCCACATGTTCAACCCATGCACGAACAAAATAAAGATTTTTATTTATTTTTTTAAAGCGACAAGTGCCTTTGTAAAGGTAGGAGCTGGCCACAGTGTAGGCAGAGGTGTGGATACCTGCCTAGGGAAGGAACTGAAGATGCAAAGGGGACAATACCTACCAGGAAGGAAAGCGCTGCAGCCTGGTCCAGGGTGGAAGAAGTTCTCAGCGACCCTAGTCTTGCTTCGGGGAGTGGGGCCAAAGTGTTCCAGGGTCCCTGAAAGCTAAGCTGGTGGAGGTACTCAGTACGGTAGCTCACCCTTTATTAACAGTTTCTATTTCTACAATGTATCAGTTTTAGTTATTTTAGGTTAGTATCTTTTATGTATTGCCCTAAGCATGTATGAAACGTTCTGTGACCTGTGAAACATGGTGGACCTGGCAACCTTAGCATGACCCTGCTTAGTGTCGGACATAAATTCTTAGGCAATCAAGCTTCTTTGCACATTAATACAGATTGGTTTAATTCTGCACCTAAAATGGAATTGGAACTAATGAGATTTAGATACATACTAATAGGTGTCTAACAATTAACTATAGGCTTAATTCTCACTCAATTATATTTGTTTGTCGAGGCATGAAATATAAATTAAATTATCCACACCGGTACCAGTGTTGCACACTACTAAATGACTCATGACATTCTCCCTAGATGCATTAGGGGGTTGCAAAGTTAATCTGGACACAGACGTGCAGTAGAGGTTAGTTTTTTTGTTTACTTACTTTCTCATCATTATTCACCCCAGTAAAAGCATCGAGAGTGTTTACTATGGTAAGGAAACCATAAACTCACTTTCAGAAGAAGAAGAAAAAAAAAAAAACGCACACATTTCTTACTGAAAGCTGAACGAAATTAATGTATTCTCTTTAAAATTTATCTTTACAGAAATAAAAAACACACATAATGTCAGCCTTTTATTGCTGTTATTTTTGACGTAGCTTTACAATAAAAAAAAAAGGAAGAGCCCACAAAAGCCCCAGAACATTTGTATACATTATAGGAGGAGCTTCACTGTTAAACCAAGCTGATAGGATTACTGGAAAATGTCTACGGCCACTAAACAGAATAAAAAAAACTTGTATTCTACAAACATACAAACACCTGTCAGCCATGCTTCCACTCTTGCACAGTCTGAGAGTTAGGAGACTGCACCAGACATATCTATGAATTCTGCCACTCGGAATTTCTTCAACCATTTAGTATCCAAACAGCACCTTTCAAACTGTCGTTGAACTAGAATTGTAAAGGATCACAGTGTGTGTAGTTCATTAATATCATATTAGCTACAAGTTACTATGCAGATTCTCAACCCTTTCCAGGAGCTCACTCTATAATTCAAAGACCCACGGATCTTACATTTTTCCCCCCAGATTCAGTTACAATTTTTATACTTTTTTTTTTTTTTTTAATTCTCTGGCTGCTTACCCAAAAACAAAATCACCTGGATCAATCAGGATTCAAGATTGTAATTAGAGTTTTCAAAAAAATGTAAGGGGAAAAAAAAAAACCTGCATTTATAAGAAATAAGAAAATGACAGAATTCCTATTTTTTTTACTGGTTAAAAAAAATAAAAATTAAAAAAATTTACAGTTACGAACTGGACATAATACCAGCATATAGAATCTGGTAAACCTAAGGTGTGGTCCACATCATGTATTTTTGCTGTTTAACAAGAAAATTATTTCAGCATGAAAGTGGATGTTTCAATCACAATTCTAGAATTTGGTCCAATGTATATATCCAAATTTAGATAGGATGGGCAATGACGCCACCTTGACCTCAAATTACAACATCTGATCAAGCCCAACATGGGAAACACATCAGTGCTACCAAAAGACAAGCATGATTATTGCAAAGTTACAGCAGCAGAAAATGCCCCTTTGCCCGAGAATGACATCACTGCCTGGTGAGGTCATTAAAGTACAACAACATTGTCTTTATCCACAGAGGCAACACAGGTGATCCCCTAAACAGAATTACGGAATGTCTTCCTTATGGTAACCAACTGGATCATCACGGAGAGCCTTTACTCAAACTGTGCAATAAATACCATCATTGCAACCCCGAGAAGCATGCCAAAGGTTTCCCGAATGGATTGAGAAGGGCGTGAGTCTTTTAGGAGCTCTGGGATGACAGAGACCGTTGCGATATAAATAAAACCTCCTGCAGTGAATGGCAGAATCCACAACGTAGCTGCTTCACCAATCCCCTCTGCCAACAGAGAGCAGGCAGTGCCCGCGAGAGCCCCCACGGCGGTGCTGAGCTGTAGCATCATAGCCTGGAAGACACCATTCAAACAATGAGAGCAAGCAACATACAAAGCATTAATACGGTCTATTTGCAGGTTTCATGTCACAAGCTACAAACAGATAAATATCCCAAAAAACAAAGTTTTGGAAATAATGAACTTTCAGGACACACTGCCTTTATCAAGTATACAGCATATCTGAACAAACCTGAGATTTGATACCGGGATAAAACCGTAAAAAGAATAAATAAAAAACACGGGTCTAATAAAGACAGGCAAAATAAGAAGGGAAAAAAATTGTGATCAAGGACGGGAAAAAGAGAAGAAGGATTTAGAAAAAGAAAACATACAGTTGGTCAAAAAGCACTTGAAGGGGGAGAGAGGAACAACGGTTACGATGAGTGTGTGAACTATAAAATAAAATAAAAAAACATACATAAGAATGTGTACATTTCATGAAAAAGGAAATAAAGACACAAAGTAATTCCGACTGACAGGGAAAGGAAGTGAGATTTACAGAGACAGAATCACACGGCATCCATTTATTGGGGATTGAATGAAGGAAACACACCTTCTTCTTGGTGCACCCACTCTGCACCAGGATAGCGAAGTCCCCAATCTCATGTGGCACTTCGTGGAGAAGAATCGTGATTGTAGTGACTATTCCAACATTGCTACTGACCAGAAAAGAGGCTCCAATTGCTAAACCATCAGTAAAGTTGTGAGTGAAGTCAGCAGCCAGGTTTAAATACCCTGACACAGTCATATCTGTGATATGGAGACTCTTGGTTAGAATTACATAAAATGTGGGAGAAGAAAGAAAGACAGAGAATACAATACACAGCACCCACAGTTAAATTATACAATACCCAAATGCCAGTTATATTACCAGAAATATGGATGTTTTCATCTTTTATGTAGGAGGTGGCCATGCTTTATACTAGCAAAATAAAGGTGATCATGGGGAGGCTTTAGAAGCTCATCACACTGATTGCAACCCCACCTACGCTAGGTTCACTGAGCCGGTTCAAATGGATGCTTTTTCCCTTTGTGAAAACATTACTTTTCCTGCCCCCCCTCCGGAGCATGCTTTGTTAGAGAGAGGTCAAAATGAGTTGTCATAACTTGAGAAAGGAGTTGGGGCACAATTACACTAGAGATTCTTCCACCCCATTAACAAAATCAGAGGATGCCCGCCCCTCTTCTCCCAGCCCAGATGGTATGGGCTTTGGATACACTGTCCTGCCATGCTGATATTCATGTAAACTCCCTACATAAACTAATCATATGTCACACAAACATCATGAATCCTCATATTCGAGATGATAAAATTTTTTTTAAATAAATAACTTTTATAAAATTAACAATAGATTTGCCAGTGACCTGATATGGGTGCATCATCTTTGCCCTTTTTGGCTTTTTGTGAAGTGTTTGCTTCAGTCTTCCTTTGTCTCACTCCATCTTTCTCACCTTCGTTTGTCGATTCATCCTTGGAAGCTGTGGGAAACGGTACAGGTGACACGTGGCATTGACACATTAACAAACAAACAGAAATAGCCTGAAGGCGTCAGACAAATGTTTACATTTAACACACTAGCAGAAGTCATTTAGTACCGTATAACAAGGACACTGTAGCCGCCTAGCCCAATACTCTCACACCATAAAATAAGCAATGAGTTAGGGGTGACAGCTACAAAAAGCAGATATAGAACTCGAAAGACATGAAACTAAAGGCCGCCACAAGACTTACCGTGGCTATGTGCATGTCCATGGCTGTGGCTATGGCCTCCTTTTAGGTGTCGTACAAATTTCTCAACTACTAGGAAGGCAATTATTCCGGCAAGAACCCAGAGTCCAACAGACATTGTGTGACCATGATTGAGATCTAGAATAACAGGAGAAATGACACGTGTGAGGCAAGAGCAAAATGAAGAATAAAAGAAGGAAAGAGCAGGTTTGGAGGAACATGTAGATACGAGCACTATCTGCCAAGAGGTTAGCAGGAGAAGGTGACAGAATGTAGAGGCAAGAAGGGGTGACATGGGACCTAATATCACAGAAAGTGGGGACAAGAGGGGGAAGGTGTAGCAGAAGGTGGAAAGAGAGGAAGAAGGGGTATAGAATCTATGGAACAAATGGGGTGGAGGGGGTAACATAGGATGGATATAGTGGAAGATAGGGACAAATGGTATAACGTTGGATGTAGATAGATAAAGACAGATGGCAAGACATATGAATATGTACAAAGGAAAAACATTTATTAGTTGCAAAGGAGGGACACTTTTCTTATTATAAATACTCACCATGAGAGTGTCCATGCCCATGTGATTCAATATGCTCATCAGATTCCTTGTGGTGAGAATGTGGCTCTGAGAAAAGACAAATGGGAAAATCTGATAAACACTAGGCAAGATTTGTGGGGTAGGAGACAATGACAGTGGCAAGTTGTAAGAAACAGGAAGGAGGTTTGCATACCCAGTGCATGGGGGATGAGATGCAGAAATGCATCTCCCAGAAGCCCCCCAGAGGCAAAGCTCAGGAGCAATTTGAGCAAGGACTGGTGCTGGCTGCTGTTAGACTGCACTGGGATCAGGAAGAGGATGAAGAAGGGAGCAGCTGAAATCAGGAGTGTGGCACAAATAGCCTGCAAGGGAAAGACGTTGTCAGAAAGAACAACAGCAAGCAAGCAAGATCACACTATACATTAGAGAAATATAACATAGTAAGATACAGAGGCAATAACTGGTACTGTGAAATCTACTAACATTAACTATTAGGTGAAAAAAATGGTTTTGTGTGGTGCTCCCTCTAAGCATTTATATGTGCATGGCCCAGTAATGCCAAATAAGAAATACATTTTATATATATTTATTTTTCATTTTCCTTACATGGAGTACAATTGTTAATTTTCAAGCTTCCTTTCTTAACCAATCCAGAGCTGACAAAATGTTCATAGAGGGAACACTGCCTAGGAGTGTGTTAAAGAGATGTCAACAAAAACAGTCCATTGTCACAGCTTACTAAAACAAATGGGGCTATAAGGAAGACGTTTGTATTGCGGATCATCCGTAGAGATGTGCACGGAAAAAATGTTTGGTCAAAATTTTTTAGTTTTGGCTAAAACTTGTTAATTATTGATTCAACAGAACAAAAAATATATTACAAATTGTTTATTTAACGAATTTCAGTTTGACCTTTGATATTAATAAAAAGGTGGTGGTAATAACAGCAACCCCAAAAAGTTTGATATTCTAGTTTCTTCAGTTATTTTCTATGACTTTATGCTTCAAGCCCAGCTCTTTTGTCAATGCTTTCCCTGGTTACCTGTATTATACACAATTTTAAATTGAATGCCTTGCTAGTGCATATACAAACCTATCCATGATCGATTGTCGCATTCACCATACAGAAAATAATAACACTGCTTGATGCGATCTTCATTGAAGATATGTACTGTAGAATGAGAGACACAATACAAAGAGCAACAGGAACTTCGGAAGTATGAAATGGAAATCAATTTAAATTATGTAAAATACAGGAAGCCTCGAAGAGCAGCATTGATTTAAGGAGCTGGGCTTTATGCAATAACATAAGCACTAACACATAAGACAAGAAACTCATTCATTCAGAACAGCAACAGAGATTCACCAAGTGGCCAAATTCATTTCATTCGGTGGCAGATTTGATCATATGATAAAGGGACACTATAGTCACCAAAACAACTACAGCTTAATGTAGTTGTTCTGGTGAGTTTAGTCTGTCCCTGCAGGCCTTTTGCTGTAAACACGGCCACTTCCGAAAAAGGCAGTGTTTACATTACTGCCTAGAGACACCTCCAGTGGCAGTAACTCAGACAGCCACTAGAGGTGCTTCCAGGGTCAGTGCTGCACAATGTACGATCTGCATGGAGGGTACAAACGTTCACCATAGAGATGCATTTGTCTATTTCCTTTTGGAAAGCATTGCATGGTCTGGGATCTGATGATCTCAGCCAAGGAGGTGAGGTGGAACCAGCGCCACTGGAATAATGAGGAGTTTTACAGGGGGAGGGGTTCATCCAACTTAATAGTGTTTTTAACACTTTAACCCCTTAAGGACCAAACTTCTGGACTAAAAGGGAATCATGACATGTCACACATGTCATGTGTCCTTAAGGAGTTAAAGGTCAGGAATGCACATTTCTATTCCGGACACTGTAGTGTTCCTTTCATTTATAGCCCAATATTCATTTCTCCACAAAATGAACAGAAAACCTATTTTTAGCAAATTTTTTTGATTTGTCTAGAAAACAAATGCACATGTCTAATAATCAGCAAATCAGATATATAAACTTTAAAGAATATGGTACTGAAATTTCTCACGTAGGTCCACAGATGTACAGGATCCAGCTTTTCTCTTGATCCATGAGTTTGTGAAGATGACTCTAGTTTTGCAGCCTCCCGTTTAATGCGCTCTTCAATTTCATGAGCAAATGCATCAACTGTCCACTTATTTTGACCTTGCAAAATGTCCTCATGGCTATGCCCATGGGGAAGATCCTCATGGCTGTGTCCGTGATGACCATGACTATGCCCATGGGGAAGATCCTCATGGCTGTGGCCGTGATGACCCTCATGGCTGTGGCCGTGATGATGGCTGTGGCCGTGATGACCCTCATGGCTGTGGCCGTGATGACCATGACTATGTCCATGGTGAGGATCCTCGTGGCTATGCCCATGATGAGAGTGGCTGTGCCCATGATGCAAATTTTCATGGGACTGGGCAGAGATTATGCGAACCACAGAACTAGACACAATGAGTGCTAGTAATGCAACACATGCCACATGGCCTCTGGGCAAAAAAATACGTCCCATCTTACCTGGAAAAAATAAATAATATATTGCATACAATCAAAACTTTAAACTATGGAATTCTTTCTAAAACTTCTATTTAATTCCATTTCTAAGGAACCAATATATAACAATGATTACAGTTAGTGATGGCCCAACCTATTCCTAATGATGCCCTATTATCAAATGCAAAGCACCAGTTATGCTTAATATATATCCCCCCGCCCCGTTATATCCCATTATCTATCGCCCCGTTATATCCCATTATCTATCGCCCCGTTATAACCCATTATCTATCGCCCCGTTATAACCCATTATCTATCGCCCCGTTATAACCCATTATCTATCCCCCGTAATAACCCATTATCTATCGCCCGTTATAACCCATTATCTATCCCCCGTAATAACCCATTATCTATCGCCCCGTTATAACCCATTATCTATCGCCCCGTTATATCCCATTATCTATCGCCCCGTTATATCCCATTATCTATCCCCCGTAATAACCCATTATCTATCGCCCCGTTATAACCCATTATTTATCGCCCCGTTATAACCCATTATTTATCGCCCAGTATCTATCGCCGTGCCAGTAAAGCCCATGTAAAAGCTATTATCTAATGTTCAGAGCCAGCAATGCCCTATTGCCTAACGCCCATTGATGGCCTAATACAAAGTGCCAGAGCTGCCCTGTTATTACCCATTATGTAATACAAGGTGCCTGTCCCTAGTGAAGCCCCCGGTGCTGTGCCCGGTGTTACCTGCTCTCCCGCCTCGCTGCCTGCACTCAGTTCGGTACCTCTCTCAGACGTGGCACAAAGCAATCCGGTACAAAACCTCGCGAGAGCAGCTGACCCGGAAGTATATGGAATGGAACGCGGAAGTGGTCCCGGTGGAACGCACGGCTGGAGTAATAATAATAATGATAATAATAATGAGTGTGGGAGGACACGTGTTTGTCACAGGGTGTGAGATGTGTAAATGGAGAGGTTTTCCTGGATAACACGTTTCATTCAGGGCGGGCTTCCACGTCTCATACACTATATTACAGTAATGTGCAATACCTTTATATTAATATTACACTTTATTATTAACCTCTTTAGAGGTAATTCATTCTAGAGTTTGTTGAAGGCACAGAGGGGAGTATTAAATTAATTATCTTTTTTCTGAACCTTCACCAGCTAATAAAAATGATGGAAATAATATTCAGATTTGGATTTTTATTTTATGGGAAAATATCTACATGTCCCATCAGAACATCCTATAGAATTTTTATTGAGACGTCTCTAACTTTCTCTTTTTGCACATGCTTACCGCCCTCAACACCCTCTGTTCCTGTGCGTCCAACGCATCTTGTTGCAAATACCTGTCTGTTAGTCCACATATTGTACAGCGCTACGGAATATGGTGGCGCTTTCTAATTAATAATAGTAACTGTAAATGAATAACATTTGACAGATTAGGTTTAGATAGAACCTGTATTAAAAACTATTTTTTTTAATTGTGTTGGAATTTCTTTGAATTCCACCACAATTAAAAGAAATATGAAACAAAGTAAGGACTACTTTGTCTCATGTAATTGTCAATCTTTGGCAAAGGGTTGTGGTGCCACTGCCCATTCCCATCAGCTGTCTTTCAACCTCCAATTGGAACAGGAATCATCTTGTGAAATGCTCAATAGATGACTATGGTACCTTATTGCACATGTGTGAGAGTATTTATGGAAGATCCAGCTGTGTTGCAGGATCCCCGCAACAGTAGGCAACCGTTGGCACTACATTTCCCTTATTGCTGGTGAAGCATCAGGGAAGATGTAGTTAAAAAAAAAACTGGAGTGCCAAAGGTTGCCTACTGCTGCTCTATAGACACTATTACGTTCTCTGAGTAAGTCCTTATCTGCTCCCAATTCAGTCACCATAACACACGCAAACATGTCACCATGTAGGATCTTTGCAAAAAATGCATGGTCCTACAAGTGAGAGTGCCATTCTTCTTTAACCCCTTAAGGACACATGACATGTGTGACGTGTCATGATTCCCTTTTATTCCAGAAGTTTGGTCCTTAAGGGGTTAAAGGGACACTATAGACACCCAGGCCACTGTCTGCCAGACAGCCTCTAGAGAGGGACTAAACGATCGCTTAACTTATGCTCGACCTCCCTAGCGTCACCCCCAGCGTTTTTGTGAGGTTTCTCTTAATGGCAGGAGGGAGGTGTGTGCATGTGGTTGTGCTGAAGAAACGAGGGTCGCAGATAAAACCCACCATGAAAGCGTGAATCACCCACAAGTTGGCAGTAGCGACCAGGTTGACTACCACTGCTCTAGCGCAAAATAGTAATGATCTGTCAGACTTGCGAATGGCTCCTCCTGTTTGAGCTCTGGGTGAACTGCAAGCTAGGTCTAGCCTTCTGATGTCATCAGGGGCTGTCTATGCAGCCAATCAGAGTGCTTGTAGGGATGAGGCTGGAATGGTCATGCTGCTGGAGGCTCCAGGGAGGAGAGGAATACAGCCACCACATGGCAAGTTAGGAAAATACCTACAGATTTGCACACTACAACTACACGCTCCCTCCAATTAATGCTCCCCGCTGTACAGCTGTCTTCATGCTGAGCCTGAATCTGGCTGAGTTTGTTGAGAGTTGCAATTATGGCACCATATCCACCATAGAGCTTTGTAGTGGTTATGGTGCTCGGAGTTCCTTTAATATTCTCATGTAATTTTGCCAATCAAAGCTTTCTGCTCCAGGCCCATTGGTTACTTAAAGGGAAACTCCAGTGCCAGGAAAACAATCCATTTTCCTGGCACTGCAGGTCCCCTCTCCCTCCCACCCCCCATCCCCGGTTGCTGATGGGGTGAAAACCCCTTAAGGTCACTTACCTGAGACCCGGCCTTGGCGGTGGTTTTTTTTCGCCGCCGCTCCTCCCAGTCTTTACGTCGGCCGGTGGGCGAGACTGGTCCCACCTACCGGCCGGGGAGACCTAATGCGCATGCGTGGCAATACCGCACAAGCGCATTAGAGCTCCCCATAGGAAAGCATTGAAAATGCTTTTCAATGCTTTCCTATGGGGAATTGAGCGACGCTGGAGGTCCTCACACAGCGTGTGGACATCAAGCGATGCTCTAGCACAGAAAACCTGTGCTATAGATCAGGAAGTGCCCTCTAGTGGCTGCCTAGTAGACAGCCACTAGGGGAGGACTTAACCCTGCAAGGTAATTATTGCAGTTTATGAAAACTGCAATAATTACACTTGCAGGGTAAAGGGTAGTGGAAGTTGGCACCCAGACCACTCCAATGGGCAGAAGTGGTCTGGGTGCCTGGAGTGTCCCTTTAATTTACCAAAACAGTTACTATTCTTGGTCAAAGCCTTAGGGTGAGTAATCACTATGGAAACCAACAGAATGTTTCAACATTTTCCACTCTAAATTCCACCTAAAAATCTCCTCTTATGTGGTAACCAAGTACAGTCTGTAAAACACAATGATCTGAAGTGATGTCATCCCAAGTCTCGAATTGGATAAATCTGTCAACCAGTCAATTTGGGGAAAGGAGACACCTGACATTTTTGACATACATGAATGCGCTATGAAATTTGAGAAAAAAGATGTAATTTCTAAAAGCTTCATAGCGAAGCCTTTGAAAAGCAAATATTTTCTGCTAATCGGTCACAAATATCCATTTTTAGACTGAATGCAATCCCTGATAGTGTTCTTTATAGAATGTATGTAATGCCAATATCTTTACTTATCTCCTATATTAAAATAGTATGCATTTGTGAGCTGGGAAAAATTTAATGTGGAAATTCATATCACTGTATATAGTTTTATCCTTGAACTGGGTGCCTCTGTCTTGGCTTCAAGTGAATCATTATTGTAAAAGTTGCCCTTTTTAGACACTGAACATAGTGGAAGGGGAGAAACCAAAATAATGTTTCTGTCCTCATTTGCATTGTGTGCCTTGGTTGTGCCAGAAGTCAACTGAATTGTGATGTTAATTACTAAATCTTTAGTATTTATTTAAAAGTAAATGTAGCATCACATGAAAAGTTTAAAAATGTAGGCCCCACACTAGTCATAATCTTAAATGTATACAAATCTTATACATAAGGTATGTGGCATTCCCTCAGTTCATGTGTATTTCATTGTGCTGCCAATCAACTGTAGAAATGTGACAAATTGAAAATAAAAATTGTCAAAAAAAGAAGACGTTTAGGCTCTCTTCTGATTAACCTTGGTCTTCACCTATGATTATGTGAATCTGAATTAGTATCGCCCATCAGTCCCGTTTACCCCTTAAGGACCAAACTGCTGGAATAAAAGGGAATCATGACATTTCAGACATGTCATGTGTCCTTAAGGGGTTAAATGTGTACACATAAGGCTCTACATTCCATTATAGACTAGAAATGTACAGCCATACACACAGCCAAGTTTTTAGTATGAAAAATATGGAGCACAATTTTTAAGAAGGTGAAATTGGTAGAGGCCTCTTTTGTGCAACAATAAAACCCGTACAGGTTTATTCACTAAATTAAGAATGCAAAGTGAATTTCAAATTTAAGGTCCAACAGGAAAATAATAAAACTATTCTTTCAGTTTGGCTACTCTAACCTCAAATTTTAAATTCACTTTCAATTCTAACAAAAGTAAATAAACCTATTAGACACACTCACTTATTAAAGGGACACTTTAATCACGAGAACAACTACAGCTTTTTGTATTTGTTCTTGTGAGTAGAATCATTACCTTCAGGCTTTTTGCTGTAAACACTGTCTTTTCAGAGAAAATGCATTGTTTACATTACACCCTAGGGACACCTCCACTGGCCACTCCTCAGATGGCTGCTAGAGGTGCTTCATGGGGCAGTGCTGCACAGTGAGCAGAACTGCCATTCAGTATCTCCTCCCTCTGCATGCAGACACTGAACTTTCCTCATAGAGATTCATTGATTCAATTCATCTCTATGAGGAGATGCTGATTGGCCAGGGCTGTGTTTGACTTGTGCTGGCTCTGCCCCTGATCTGCCTCCTTGAAAGTCTCAGCCAATCCTATGGGAAAACAATTTTATTGGCTCAGAGAATCACTTCTGAGTATGTCAGCCAAGCAGGCAGATCAGGGGCAGAGGCAGCAGCTGCAGACTTGAGGGGAGGCCAGGGGGGCTAGATGGTGATTTTAACACTATAGGGTAAAGAATACATGTTTGTGTTCCTGACCATAGTGTTCCTTTAACTAAAGTGGATAATCAGATATCAGAGTGAATATCAAAACATAGGCAACAGTAGCCAAAGTGAAAGAATTTTGGCTATTTCATAGTTACACAAAGAAAACTCATTTTTAGTACAAATCTTTATTCCAGCTCCATTTGGGTGTGAGAATAAAAATGATTGGCACTCGAGGCAATAAATATAAATGTTTTGTAGGTCAAGGTATTTTCTTTCTAGGTCAATAGCCTCCAGTCTTTGAATGAGTTGCCAGAACAGGCTGATTATTTTCCAAAAGCCCATTGTAAATGCCACTTGGGGAATAAAGCCCCATTGCTAAAAATATAGTTGAGTTTGTTTCATTCTTTTCCAGAAAATGTGGCATTCTTAGTACCTAGCTGTTCTTGATTATAATACAATTTAAATGCTCATCTGTGGATTTCATAAAGCATTGACAATGTGTTTGCTCTCTTGTAGCCACAAATGTACATAATCCACACTATGCGCTTTGTACGCAAGACCCTGCCCAGCGGAGCTTGCAATCTAACCTTGTTTGAAACCCAATTTCACTTTTTTCCAAACTGCTGTCTGGTGATTTATATAAATAATGTGTAGGAGAATCAATTGTTATTATATGTGTCAGTATAAAATGATATTATCCTTTGAAAATGCAAAGGCCAACAGCTTGAGTTTTTCTGGGTACGACAGGACTGTTCTTCTCAGATACGTAGCTTGGACCAGATTTATTTGTTCTAAGCTGTTGGCTCCAAGATCTGATTATGGATGATACTTGGAATACAGAATGTTTGTTAGAGGGTGATCTTATATAGGCAGCAGGTGTTGTCATGGGTCTTCTTGCACAATATGCCGGCAGTAACATGAACAGTGTTATAGATTGCATCTTGGCAAGATCTTTCTCCTCATCCACTGTGATACGTCCATATGTTGCTTGGCTGTAGATTTGCTTCGAATCAATAGGCTGCAAAGACACACAGTATAAAATAATTAATATGTAAAGTACGTAGTCAAAGCATTATATATATGCCCTATGTATGAGTTATTGGGAAGACACAGCCTCAGTATATGTGTCCAGTATAAGCCCTATGTATGAGTTAGTGGAAAGACACAGCCTCAGTGGGAAGACACAGCCTCAGTATATGTGTCCAGTATATGCCCTATGTATGAGTTAGTGGAAAGACACAGCCTCAGTATATGTGTTCAGTATATGCCCTATGTATGAGTTAGTGGGAAGACACAGCCTCAGTATATGTGTCCAGTATATGCCCTATGTATGAGTTAGTGGAAAGACACAGCCTCAGTATATGTGTCCAGTATATGCCCTATGTATGGGTTAGTGGAAAGACACAGCCTCAGTATATGTGTCCAGTATATGCCCTATGTATGAGTTAGTGGAAAGACACAGCCTCGTATATGTGTCCAGTATATGCCCTATGTATGAGTTAGTGGAAAGACACAGCCTCAGTATATGTGTCCAGTATTTGCCCTATGTATGAGTTAGTGGGAAGACACAGCCTCGTATATGTGTCCAGTATATGCCCTATGTATGAGTTAGTGGAAAGACACAGCCTCAGTATATGTGTCCAGTATATGCCCTATGTATGAGTTAGTGGAAAGACACAGCCTCAGTATATGTGTCCAGTATATGCCCTATGTATGAGTTAGTGGAAAGACACAGCCTCGTATATGTGTCCAGTATATGCCCTATGTACGAGTTAGTGGGAAGACACAGCCTCAGTATATGTGTCCAGTATATGCCCTATGTACGAGTTAGTGGGAAGACAGCCTCAGTATACGTGTCCAGTATATGCCCTATGTATGAGTTAATGGGAAGACACAGCCTCAGTATATGTGTCTAGTATATGCTCTATGTACGAGTTAGTGGGAAGACAAAGCCTTAGTATATGTGTTCAGTATATGCCCTATGTATGAGTTAGTGGGAAGACACAGCCTCAGTATACGTGTTCAGTATATGCTCTATGTACGAGTTAGTGGGAAGACACATCCTCTGTATATTTGTACAGTATATGCCCTATGTATGGGTTAGTGGAAAGACACAGCCTCGGTATATGTGTCCAGTATATGCCCTATGTACGAGTTAGTGGGAAGACACAGCCTCAGTGGGAAGACACAGCCTCGGTATATGTGTCCAGTATATACCCTATGTACGAGTTAGTGGGAAGACACAGCCTCTGTATATTTGTACAGTATATGCCCTATGTATGAGTTAGTGGAAAGACACAGCCTCAGTATATGTGTCCAGTATTTGCCCTATGTATGGGTTAGTGGAAAGACACAGCCTCGGTATATGTGTCCAGTATATGCCCTATGTATGAGTTAGTGGAAAGACACAGCCTCGTATATGTGTCCAGTATATGCCCTATGTATGAGTTAGTGGAAAGACACAGCCTCAGTATATGTGTCCAGTATTTGCCCTATGTATATGCCCTATGTATGAGTGGGAAGACACAGCCAGTATATGTGTCCCTATGTACGAGTTAGTGGGAAGACAGCCTCAGTATATGTGTCCAGTATATGCCCTATGTATGAGTTAAGTTGGGAAGACACAGCCTCAGTATATGTGTCTAGTATATGCTCTATGTACGAGTTAGTGGGAAGACAAAGCCTTAGTATATGTGTTCAGTATATGCCCTATGTATGAGTTAGTGGGAAGACACAGCCTCAGTATACGTGTTCAGTATATGCTCTATGTACGAGTTAGTGGGAAGACACATCCTCTGTATATTTGTACAGTATATGCCCTATGTATGGGTTAGTGGAAAGACACAGCCTCGGTATATGTGTCCAGTATATGCCCTATGTACGAGTTAGTGGGAAGACACAGCCTCAGTGGGAAGACACAGCCTCGGTATATGTGTCCAGTATATACCCTATGTACGAGTTAGTGGGAAGACACAGCCTCTGTATATTTGTACAGTATATGCCCTATGTATGAGTTAGTGGAAAGACACAGCCTCAGTATATGTGTCCAGTATTTGCCCTATGTATGGGTTAGTGGAAAGACACAGCCTCGGTATATGTGTCCAGTATATGCCCTATGTATGAGTTAGTGGAAAGACACAGCCTCGTATATGTGTCCAGTATATGCCCTATGTATGAGTTAGTGGAAAGACACAGCCTCAGTATATGTGTCCAGTATTTGCCCTATGTATGAGTTAGTGGGAAGACACAGCCTCGTATATGTGTCCAGTATATGCCCTATGTATGAGTTAGTGGAAAGACACAGCCTCAGTATATGTGTCCAGTATATGCCCTATGTATGAGTTAGTGGAAAGACACAGCCTCAGTATATGTGTCCAGTATATGCCCTATGTATGAGTTAGTGGAAAGACACAGCCTCGTATATGTGTCCAGTATATGCCCTATGTACGAGTTAGTGGGAAGACACAGCCTCAGTATATGTGTCCAGTATATGCCCTATGTACGAGTTAGTGGGAAGACAGCCTCAGTATACGTGTCCAGTATATGCCCTATGTATGAGTTAATGGGAAGACACAGCCTCAGTATATGTGTCTAGTATATGCTCTATGTACGAGTTAGTGGGAAGACAAAGCCTTAGTATATGTGTTCAGTATATGCCCTATGTATGAGTTAGTGGGAAGACACAGCCTCAGTATACGTGTTCAGTATATGCTCTATGTACGAGTTAGTGGGAAGACACATCCTCTGTATATTTGTACAGTATATGCCCTATGTATGGGTTAGTGGAAAGACACAGCCTCGGTATATGTGTCCAGTATATGCCCTATGTACGAGTTAGTGGGAAGACACAGCCTCAGTGGGAAGACACAGCCTCGGTATATGTGTCCAGTATATACCCTATGTACGAGTTAGTGGGAAGACACAGCCTCTGTATATTTGTACAGTATATGCCCTATGTATGGGTTAGTGTAAAAACACAGCCTCGGTATATGTGTCCAGTGTATGCCCTATGTACGAGTTAGTGGGAAGACACAGTCTCTGTATATTTGTACAGTATATGCCCTATGTACGAGTTAGTGGAAAGACACAGCCTCTGTATATTTGTACAGTATATGCCCTATGTATGTGTTAGTGTAAAGACACAGCCTCGGTATATGTCTCCAGTGGGAAGACATCCTCGGTATATGTGTCCAGTGTATGCCCTATGTACGAGTTAGTGGGAAGACACAGACTTGGTATATGTGATTTATATAATGTCAGTGTATGGGCTGATGAGAAGAAAATAAGTATATACCGGTATGTCCAAAATAAGCTCTATTTATGGGGTGCTGTTAAGTCACAGCTACAGTAAATGTGTGTTATATCATATCTGTGTAGGAGGTGCTCTTAAAACACAGTCACAGTATATCTGACTGATTTAGTATATGTAATGGTGTGGACACATAGACTCAGTGTGTATAATTGATAAAATCTCTGTATGATGTACAGCCTCGGTATATGTGCCTGATATTATCTCTATATGTGAGGTGTTGTAAAGACACACCCTCAATATATGGGACTGATATAATGTGTGTATGAGGAATCACATAATGGTGTGTACAAATCATTTCTGGGAAGACATCACCATAACAACCTAGTTACAAGTGGTATTATCTAGCAGAAGATAAAACGTCATAAACTGAGTGAAACATGAGAAGATCTGGTATGAAAATACATAATTATCCTCCAGATATTGTCTGAGGCCTAATACATATACTTGGATTTAAGTGGAACAACCATCAAAAACCATAGTCTGTCAAAGTCTCCACGCTCCAGCCCACAAAAACATAATCCTTTTGGTTGTCACCCCAAAACCCCTCATCCACTGTGTGTCACCCCATAACCCCACATCCCTTGTCTGTCACCCCATTACCCCCATCCACTGTGTCACAACATAACCCCCACATCCCTTGTCTGTGCTAACCCATTACCCCCCACCCACTGTGTGTCACAACATAACCCCCCACATCCCTTGTCTGTGTTAACCCTTTACCCCCCATACACTGTGTGTCACCCAATAGCCCCCACATCCCTTGTCTGTCACCCCATTAACCCCCATACACTGTGTGTCACCCAATAGCCCCCACATTCCTTGTCTGTCACCCCATTACTCCCATCCACTGGGTCACAACATAAACCCCACATCTCTTGTCTATGTTAACCCTTTACCCCACATACACTGTGTGTCACCCCATAACCCCCACATCCCTTGTCTGTCACCCCATTACTCCCCATGCACTGTGTGTCATCCAAAAGCCCCCACATTCCTTGTTTGTCACCCCATTACCCCCATCCACTGTGTCACAACATAACCCCCACATCCCTTGTCTGTGCTAACCCATTACCCCCCCACCCACTGTGTGTCACAACATAACCTCCACATCCCTTATCTATGTTAACCCATTACCCCCCACCAGGGCCAGATTAAGAGCCCAGTGGGCCTGGTGCTGACAATTATGACGGGCCTAATTACAGAATCATATCGACCCAAAACAGTAAAACACTCCCAAGCATCATGTATCTGATGGAGATGGTGCTGGAGCGAAAGAAAACAGCAGCTATAAGAAAACACATACCCTAGGCTAATCTCTCACTAATTTATGTTTTCATCTTTCAAGTAAATCCATAACCCCTAACAGCAGTGTCCAGTCAAGTAGGAAGTCAATGGGCATGGTAAAAGGGTGTGCCACTGACACAAATCACATAACCTGCCAAAAGGGGCGAACATGCCCAAAAAGAGGACATGTCTGCTCAAAGAATTAGAAGACCAGTGGCTGGCATGTCAGGCTGCCTGCCAATCATGCAGCTGGCCAACTAAGGGCATACTATGCAGACAGCACCCTGAGCTTGGCATAAATGCATCTAATGATGCGCTCACTCAACGCTTTCTAAGGACTGTCCCCTAGCACTCACTGGTCCACTTGTCTCCTTACCTTCTTACTAGCAGGCAGAAGCTCCTGGTATATGGTCCGGGACAGAGAAAAGCTGTATGTAGTGAGTGTAGAAGAAAGGGAACATGCCACCGTGTTAGAGAGACCAAAGTCAGCATTACCACAAGCATGAATTCATGACCCTATAGTGTTAACACCACCATCTAGCCCCCCTGGGCCCCTCATGCCTCCATAAATATAGCAAAATCCTACTATATTCAAGCCTGAAGCTTTAACTCTGCATGCTGTTAGACTCATAAAAACAAGCAGTCTGCTGGCATCATTAGAAGTGGTGGCCTGATCCAATCCCAGTGCTTCCCCATAGGATTGGCTGAGACTGACAAAGAGGCAGATCAGGGGCAGAGCCAGCATGATTCAAACACAGCCCTGGCCAATCAGCATCTCCTTATATAGATGAATTTAATTAATGAATCTCTATGAGGAAAGTTCAGTGTCTACATGCAGAGGGAGGAGACACTGAATGCTTGGATGCATTTTAGGCAGCCATGACCCAGGAAGGATCTCTAACAGTCACCTAAGGAGTGGCCAGTGAAGTTATCACTAGGATGTAATGTAAACACAGCATTTTCTCTGAAAAGACCATGCTTACAGCAAACAGCCTGATGGTAATGATTCTACTCACCAGAACAAATTCAATAAGCTGTAGTTGTTCTGCTGACTATAGTGTCCCTTTAACTATATTCATTGTCAGCTAGTCCACACAAGTTTACATCCCTCTTAAGTTTCCATACTTAAGTAAGAGTATGTGAAAAGTAGTTAGGGTTGCCACCTTTCTTGGAAAAACATACCGGCCTTACTAATTTATGTGTGGGTGACATCACATGATGTAAATCACAAGGAGTGACATAAGAGAAAATGCTGTAAAATCACCAAAAAACTATTTAGTTTAAATCTGCTGTAAAGATGGATTCCTCCCAGTGCCCCCATATGTCGATTACTCCAGTCCTCAGTGTTCCTATGTATCAGTGTCTCAGTGCCCCATGTCTCCCAGTGTCCCTAAGTGTCGTGTCCCCAGGTCTCCCAGTGATCCTATGTATCAGTGTCTCAATGCCCTATGTCTCCCTGTGTCCTCATGTATCCCAGGGTCCCCATGTCACTAGGACACTAGGAAGACGGGGAGACCTGGGGACACGGGGAGACCTAGAGACACCAGTGACACTGGGAGACTAGGGGACTCTGGCTGGGACACATGGGGACAATGGGAAAATAGGGGACACTTGAAGACATGGGGACACAGACACCAGGGACAAAGATACTAGAGACACTGGCTGGGGGACATGGGGACATGGGGACATTGAGACATGGGGGCACTGGGAGACATGGGGACACAGACACCAGGGCCACAGACACTAGGGACACTAGCTTGGTGACATTGTGACACTTGAGGCACTGAGAGACATGGAGGCACTAGGAGACATGGGGACAGTGAGACACTGGCAGACTGGGGGCACTGGGAGACTAGGGGTCACTGGAAGACTAGAGGCACTGAGACACCAGGGACACTGGCTGGGAGACATGGGGACACTGTGTCCCCATGTGTCTGTGTCATAATGTCTCCCAATGTCCCTTAGTGTCTCAGTGTCTGCCATAATGTCTCCCAATGTCCCTTAGTGTCTCAGTGTATGTCTCCTTGCAGCCTTTTCCCCCATCCCTTACTTCCCTGAGCTGTAGGTTGTCTCTGCAGGGTGGGAGTTGCTGTCTGGACTCTCTGTAGCTGCACCCCTGCAGATCAGTGAGTATAGATAGGCAGGGAGGGATATGCTGGAACTTCCTATACCTGCCTGTCTCCACATGCAGCGACCCCTACTGGCCAGTGCTGGTATTGCATAGTAATTTCCATTTATACTTAGAAAAATACCAGCATTTATATTGCCAGTATCACTGCAATATTGGCACCAGCCAGGCAGCCTCAAATACTAGCTGTGCCAATAAAATAAAAGCCAGGTGGAATCCCTAAGAGTAGTGTGTGAAAAAAAAAATGTAAAAAAAAAATTTTTTTGTTAATCCGGCCCTGCCCCCCACCCACTGTGTGGCGGAACCAACCTCGCCACTGGCCACTGGAGGAGCCTGGTTTCCCACCTCTTGCCGCTGGACTATGGCCCTGCATTAAAAACCTTTTATTTTCCCTATGTGAGCAGTGTTACCCCAGATAGCTAAGCCCATTTGTATACCGAAAGACTATGGGAAAGACTGGCTCCATGGCGATTGAACTGTATGTATGTGATCTGAGCGCCATTCGGTAATAATGTGCGCTCAGATCTAAGCTATCTGGGGATATGTAGAATGTCTATGTTTTATGTAGTAATTGTAACACTGTGTTATTTTATGTCTTTTTACTAACATGTGGCTGATGGAGTTTTGCCTCTGTCCTTGTAGATAATTGGATTACTTCCCAATTATCTCCAGGACAGAGAGGAGGGATTGCAATGCATTGTGGGATCTGTTTAAATGTGTAAGCTTGTGATTGGTACTTTTACCCTTTGTGTCCAGTTTCCCATCTGGTCCCCTAGGGGAGTGTCCACCAGGTGGGAGATCTGCATAAAAGCCGGGCAGGTAGCCCCAGTAAATCAGTTCAGCTTGACCCTCAAACGAAGTGTCATCTAGTTATTGGGGGAATTGGATTGTATGCTGTTTCAGACTGATTGCTAGGAGTGTAAACTGTTCGTGTGGTTTTTCTTATTCAGCTGTTTACAGCATTCATATGTTTCAGAGCATTCGTATGCTTCTCCGGTTCGGTGGATTGGTGTCTACAGTAGCTGCCTGTATATAGGGAAGGGGAATATCTCTTAAACGGTTTTTAACCTCTTGTGTGCAAAACGGTCCGTTACACACTGTGTCACAACATAACCCCCACATCACTTCCCTGTGTTAACCCATTACCCCATACCCACTGTGTGTCACAAAACAACCTGCCACATCCCTTGTCTGTGTTAACCCATTACCCCACCATCCACTGTGTGTCACAACATAACCCACCATATTCCTTGTCTGTCACCCCATTAACCCCCATACTCTGTGTGTCACCCAATAGCCCCCATATTCCTTGTCTGTCACCCCATTAACCCCCATACACTGTGTGTCACCCAATAGCCCCCACATTCCTTGTCTGTCACCCCATTAACCCCCATACACTGTGTGTCACCCAATAGCCCCCACATTCCTTGTCTGTCACCCCATTACCCCCCATACACTGTGTGTCACAAAACAACCTGCCACATCCCTTGTCTATGTTTACTCATTACCCCCCATACACTGTGTGTCACAACATAACCCACCATATTCATGTCTATCACCCCATTACTCCCCATACACTGTGTGACCCAATAGCCCCCACATTCCTTGTCTCTCATCCCATTACCCCCCATACACTGTGTGTCACCCCATAACCTCCCACATCCTCTGTATTTTACAGCCCATAAGCCTACTCAGTGTATGTCCCTGCATTCATTCACACTATGTTGAGATACTTGAAGAGTAGTGGTGCTGTTAGATATGGGGACTGCTTTAAAGCAGTGTGGGGAAGGGGGGAGTTTTAGCTAGGGCGGGATAACAGGTATATTCACCATTATAGACTATCTTCCTATATCACTGCCCATTGCCCCAGAGTAGAACCTGCTTTTTTAAATTTCATTCCACCCTATTATTAAGCAAATCTCTACTTCACCTTAATTGTAGCAATATTACATCCACTGAGAAGTACCATTTATTTATTGCTATTATTGGTTGGGAATAATTTAATAGTTTTGCTACAGGTGGCTTAGTGAGGACAAATGGGGGAAAACGTACAATATACACAGACCAATACAAAAGGTATAGAGGGCCCTGCCCGTAAGCTGATGGCAATGCTTCCAAAAATTCTCCAAAATCCCCTATATAATGACTAAAGCCTAGGACATTTAGCAAGCTCTGAGATATATTGAATTCCAGGCAGACGACAAATGCACAGTCATTTCTTAACTACTACAAAAAATAACCATAGCAAATCTTAGGATGAATGCAACCTACCCTTCTCAGTAAGTTGTTGCTAGCATTCCCAAGATCCTTTGCCAATCATAGTCTGCGTTGAGTACTGAAGTAAACATTTTGGGCCCAGTTTCTACAGAACTTTATATTAAAGGGATTCTATAGTGCCAGGAAAGCAAACCCGTTTTCCTGGCACTATTGGCTCCTGCATGCACCCCTCCCAATGCCCATATTCTAGTCTTTCCTATGGGGAAAAAAATCTGACGCTGGAGGTCCTCATGCAGAGCGTGACGATGTCCAGCGTCAGATAACAGACCAAAGTCCCTCTAGTAGCTGTCTGATAGAAAGCCACTAGAGGAGGCATTAACCCACAGAGGTAATTATTGCAGTTTCTCAGAAACTGCAATAATGACGACTGTAGGGTTAAGGGACATGGGACATTGCACCCAGACCACCTCAATGAGCTGAAGTGGTCTGGGTGCCTACAGTGTCCCTTTAGGCGGGGGTTTGCTTTCATCTCACCTCTAAAGATCCAACTCCTCTTCTGACTCTTCTTGCATTAGCAGATAATCTTTCAGCCTCCTGTAAAGTGCTATCCAGGGCACAGTTTGATGAAGTATATATGAAACCTCTCCGAACAGTACAATTAGGAAAATACCCAATAAAAACAGGAAAATCCTATCAACGTAATACAGAATCTTCATCTTCTGGCTGCGTTGCTCCCAGGGGATCAAATCAGGCGACGGTGTTGCCCTTGCCAAGACAGCAAAGGCATCTTCATCATCGTCAGCTTCATCCGGAGGAGGGGATTGGGCAAGCAGAGGAGTTAAGGGTTCCTCAGCTTCACTGCTTCTGGTGTCCATGAGGAAGAACTGTGAAGTATGGGAGTTATGGCAAATAGGGATGTGGGGTACTCTGGAATGGCAATTTAATAAAATCTTAGGACAAAAAAAGAGGTAAGGAAAGTAAATTAGCAAAGGGGGTTACAGAATGGAAAATGAGGAGGGATCTCGAAGTAGACTATCTGGATCACTGTTCATGATAGAAACACAACCTTAGAGAAGGGTAAGAGAAAGCAGCTGTTTTCTGTAGAGGCTGATCACTAATCCGAGTGTGAGACACGCTTACTGAGTCAGCACAAAGTAGATTATCAGCTCAGGGACAAGCATGTCACCTCTATATCATCTGTCGGCCTCATCGCTGCCAACAGCTATGTCATGATCCCAAACTATATTTTGGAAGTGAATGCTTTAAAAGCTACCCTATTTTTTTTTTTTTTTTTTTTAAGAATGTGCTACAAATATGTCCTAAACAAACATAGAGGGAAATAATCCTAAAATGTGCTCTGTTGACATTTGGAAGACAGCTAGACCAATGATGGTGAACATTTCATCCAGATTGCAATATCATCTCCATCAAGTAATTAATCAGAAAGCCCATTCGAGCCAACCAAGCAGGTTCCACATGGTTGGAGCTCCTCAGATGGAGTCTGAAAATCACATGATTAACCTGCAAAATCAATCAATCTATATTTCGCCTGACGATACTCTATCTACCAGAGGAATACTCTGCAGAGTAACTGGTCTGAGCTTTCTTGGTCCAGGTGGCTGGACAGTTATCACAGTCCCCACTGGTGTGTTCTTTGTGCCCTCACATGGACTTTTCCAGACAAGTCAAGCTGGAAGCCAGAGGCCTGCTCACTAAGATGGCCAACAACGCGCAGAGTATCCCAGCACATACATACCTATTGATGCCTATCCAAGTGGCTCTGCGTTCAATAGCCTGTGCACCAAATTTTGGGAATGAATCAATACCCGAGCTGCAACTAATCTACCTGAGAAGCCAGGCATGACAGTCTGGACTAAAGCGCTTGGCAGCCAGGATCAAACAAAGTTTCTGTGACATCTCTCCTGCACATGGATGAGACGGCAAAAATGGAGGCCAAAGCTAACGCCACCTTGTGGTCTGCCTTCTATCAAGCCCTTGTACCACTCTAGTACTCTGAAGTATCTTGCCTGCAAGAAAGCTTAGCTTTTACCATGTGTTTATACAACTATACCTAAACTGGTTTTCGGTCTTTAGAATTTAAAACTAAGGCTGACTCCGCTAGGAGTTTATTCCTGTATGTTTATTGACACTGAAGTACAGATGTTCATACTAACTTTTTCTACACATGTATAGTTTGTTATAACTCTTATCTAACTGCTATGTACCATTCCATTGCCTCAATAAAGAGAAAAAAAATAAATACAATTTTGAAAAAAAGCCAATTCTCATTTGAAGCAGCTCTGTCACCTTTTGGAGTCTCTGCATATTTTGCAATGGTAACATCGGCGCATTCCCTTTGTGCATATATATAGCGATTTTTGCTATATTTATACATATATATATATATCTGCACCTGTGGCCCACCGGCTCCTGTTCACTGCAGTTCCCAGCGGCTCCTCTGTCTCTAACGCTCACAAGCACCACGGCCGTCATTATAAAAACACACCCACTGCAGTCACTATACACACAACCTCCACTACACAAACACTGCAATATACACACACTACCTCCACTACACAAACACACTCGCAGTCACTATACAAACACTGCATTCACTATACACACTACCTCAACTACACAAACACCCTCTCTGCATTCATTATATACACACTACATCCCTAGACAAACACACACTCTGCAGTTACTATAAACACTACATGCCTAAACGAACACACACTGAATTCACTATACACACGCTACACAAACACGCTCTCTGCATCTGATATACACTGCATACATGACACAAACATACATTCTACATCCACTATACACACCGCATGCAATACACACACTGCATTTCAGTAGGCGGACTCAGGGGTGGGCCCCAGGGGCCTAGACCCAAATTGATAGTGACCCAAAAGGTAAGGGTAGAGTAGAAAACTAGGTTGCTAGAATTGTTTTTACTGAGGGCTTATGTTTTGTTTTTATATATAATAATGTCAGTGGTTTGAAAAAGCCCATGTATACAAATATGAACAATACACAACACATAAAAAAAATAGCAACATTCTCACAAGCCTGCTTTGTGCCAGCAATTCACATTACATCCTCTAAAGATATTCATGACTATTGTAATAATTACAACTGACTTGTTTATTAAATTTATAGAAGCAAACCTTTTGGTACACACACTCTCCATGTGTAAAATCCCTGCTTTTATAATGAAAACAAATTAATATTGGTAAAAGATTTGAGGTCGGTGAATGATAGTCATTGGCACATTCGGACACCCCTCTCGTCACATCTGCCCCCAATAATTTACATTTGTGACTCTTCCCTATGCCTGTGACAAACAGTCCCTGCTTAATGGACTATCTTACTCCTTTGGCCCTTTCATATGTATATCTTTAAAAAACATAGCTTTACATTCGTTCCCACTGACTTGGTGGACTTGTTTGGGTCACTCTTGTTTAGTTCAAAACCCAGACACCCTTTAGATTCAGAGTACCCTGGTCACCATGGGCCGGATAGCTCTGTCGAGATGCTGATCCAGGGACTGCGACTATGATCTTGCGAACTTGGTTACACCATAGCCTTAATAATAGTTTTACAAGATTTTATAGCCTCTGATGTGTTTTCTGTATAGTTTGTTCTGTTTTATGTGCATGATGAACATTTTCTGTTGAGTTGCAGTATAAATGTTGGAGAAATGTATTATTCTATATCTTTCAGTGCGATGATGATGATGATGATGTGGATTTGTACACAGGTTAAAGAATAGATTAAAACAAGTGCCTTTGTTAAAAATAGGCTTAAATCCTCTCAATCAAATACAATAAAAAAAAAAAAATTCCAAAAATGATCACAAGAACTTAAAGGAGCATTATAGCTTTAGTAATACACGCATGCCTAGTCTATTTAGATACCAGCTCCCCTATTACCCTTTTTCCAAGTCATAGACTCACTTGGTTCTGTCACCCACGGAGTTTGTTGTCAAATTCAATGCTCCTGGGCACGAGGTTTGAATGTCACTTATCCAACCTAATGCTTCTCAAGAAGCATTGAATCCAATGAACAGCTTAACCCCAAAGTCTTGAATCTGGCACCGGTTAGCTCTTGCCATGAACATCTGCTGCAGTTCGAGGCGTAAAATACATACAGAGTTTTCACACTTCATTTTTGAGAATGCCGTTAATCAACGGATGAGAGTGTCTGCCAAAGCTCTCAGCAGCGCCCCAGTCTCAGGCTTCCTCAAGTCTCAAACTGCACTGGGTGTTTGTAGGAATAACTACTGGGCGACAGATTCAAGACTTTGGGGTTAAACAGTTAATGGTTCTTGATGTAACCCAGGGACCACCTTGTACCACAACTTCATTTGGGTGACGTTATGGAGCTTGGAATATTCCTTTAACCAATAACAATAAATATTGTAGCAAAGATGTATCAGTCTCTTTTAGCAGCACTAGATGGCAACAATGTCCCAGAAGTAACTGGGGATTTTTACACAACAATGAGTGATTTTACACCCTCCCCACCGAAAAAAACAAATCCTGTTTTACCATTTTTTTAATACAATGCATAAAAGATCCAACCAACAGGCTCACTTTAAAAACATAATTATACCAGGAATTGACTATTGATAGTAAATCTGTCAAGATGTCTTGTGCAACCTTAGTTTCTGTGCACACACTCCTACCTTAGAGTATGGATTTATTCAGAGAGGTTGAGGAATTACAACGGAGTAGTGAGTTATTTTTGGTTACTTGTGATGTGACTTTATATATTATTAATGAACATGAAAATGGCTCAGAACTGACTAGATAGATTTCAGAGCAGGATCGTAAATTGACAGTGAAAATAGAATTTATTATAAACAATATTTCATGCTCATACATAATTCTTTCTAGTATGAAGAGGAGGTTAAAAAATAATCTATTTAGACAACCAATCAGTCTAACACTGCAATGTAAACATTACAGTTTCTCTAAAATTGCAACTAAGGGAGACAGGGACAATTAGCTGAAGTGGTATGGGTCCTTTTATGTATATTTGTTAACATCCACATCATATGGATATATGTATTTTCCAAGCACGGTTTGTGGATCAATCTGTGAAGCTGGATTGACTAGACACTATTGCCATCTAGGATTGCTTTGAAAGACTGATAGACAATTGCTACAGTGTTTATTTTTCTTAGTGAACTTTTGCAATTGTATCCGTAAGCTTTTTTTGTTGAATTTTAAAGGGAAGGTGTAAGTACATTTGTGGTTTTTAACCTCTCCTGTTATTTTACATTGCAATAACTTTTAGTACTTTGATTATTTAAAAAAAAAAAAATAATAATAAAAAAATCTATTCTTTTATCCGAGAGAAGATATAATCTTGTGGGATTTAAAAATACATTTTTTTTCTGGTTAAAGAATCGATGTTGTATAGTATGCAATGTGATAGCATTGCGTCATCATTGTATATTCATTAAGTTCTAATCTTAAGTGTGATGAAACATCCGTCTAATTATAGAGCAGATGCTGTGTAATGTACCAATATGTGATGAGGTTATTGTATATTGGAGTTATAAGAGATGTTGTGTGATATATTACGTGATGTCCCACATTGTGATAATGAAGTCATGGAGTGATAGGATAGATATTATGGAATGTGTTGATGTTCTTTAAGATATCCTGCACCCAATTTAGGACTATAATGTAAAAGTCATTGTCTTTATTTTGCACTGAAGGGGACTAACTCGTCAGATCTTTATCAAGAGGCCCTGAAACCCTCCTCGGAGAGTTATATTTAACAATACTGCTCTTCCCACCTCGTAGATTACTCTTATAATGACACTACCCTTCCTGGCGGTGGTGTTGTTTTGTATTTGTTTTTATTCTTTGTTTACATTGATTGGTTTGGTTTAAGCATTGTGGCAACTTTGTATACTTAATTGTGCCAAAGAGTAGCCTCTGCCAACTCCGAGAGCTGCGAATGGCATATCTGCAGAGATTATCATAACCACTACTGCCCACTGTTACAGAACGCCCTAACGCTGCCAATAGAAATAAAAGAGGTTAAACTCTGAGAAGTGCTGTTTATCATAGCAAAACTCTGCACCTACAGACTCTATGCATTATGACCACTTCAAATCACTTATAGGACAACTGCCATCAAATTTTCACTTTTTAAAATATTTTAAGTGATTTTTTTTTTTTAATTACGTATATTTATTAGTTTGAGAAAAATAATTTTAAAAAAAGTGTATTTTTTAATTTGGCTGAGCAATCATGTTGGGCCAGGCTTTACCATTATCTGTCCAACTGCTGCTCAACCTAACTTGCTGTTGCAATTGCTCTGTATTCTCAATGTGAACCTGCAGCAGAAAAGTTGGTTAGATAACAGTTATGTCTGATGCAACATGGGTGCTCAGCAAGATTTATAAAAAAAAAATTAAAAAAAAAAAAAATATATATATATATATATATATATATATATATATATATATATATATATATTTAATATCTGCATACATCATTTGAAAAAACAAAAAACACTAAGTTTTATTATATGTAATCAAAAAATGAGAAGTGAAAATGTCACAGTTGTCCTTTTAAATGGTGTGACCATTTGGCACCAAAACCACTGTGGCCTTTGAGTGTTTCTTTAATGCAAAATCTATATAATAATTTATAGATGTAAGGGTCATTTTCAATCCATACATTCCTTTAAATGTTGTTGTTTTTTTTTACCAAATGTATCCCAACCCCATTCTTTATTGCCTATTGACTACATGTTATGCACATAAAAAGTTTCAGTACATAATATCCCTTAATTGGCAGTCTTGGCTCGATTATAGGAAGAGGTCCTAGGATAGCCCAGCATACATTGAATAGAGCAGTTAAAGGGACACTCCGGACTCCTAAAGAATTTTAGCAGCTGAAGTGTTGTATGTGTAAAAAGTGTGTCCTCATTTTACAAAAAGTGCAAATTTCAGAACAAATTGGCACATTTATAAATTAACATTGTTAAACCCCCTGGTTGTCAGACATTCAGTCCTGTTACTTCCTGGTTTGTTTAGCTCATTGGAGCTAGATTCAAGAGGCAGCAATTGCTCAGTGCACCTGCCTTGTAAAGACTTCTCATTGAGCTGCATTGGGAAGTCTGTGATTGGACTTGCAGGTCCTAGTGCTAAGCTATACTGCCTCACTAGCAAAAATATAAGATCTCATCTGGTGGTCAGACTCTCCTCCACAGAGTAAAGGGCAGATCAAGTTAGAAACAGCCCAGTGAAGGATTAATTGCTCCAGTGCCCTTGTGAGACCAGGTGGTCCAGTTCTGACTGGAGACAGAAATATGAAAATTAATCTTTTCAACAAACGGGCAGTTCTGACAAACTGTCAACCACGTAAAAAAAACAAACAAACAAAACAGAAAAACAAAAAACTGCTTTGGAATAAATTTTTGATGACTCCAGTCAGTAGTAGTCAGTCAATTGTTCTGAGGAATCTAGTGGGAATGTGGATTTAAAAAAACAATTATCAAAACAATTTCAACATCAATGGCCTACACAGAAGAGGGGGAGAACATATAAAAACAAACATCTATGTGCACTCCAACAGGAGTAGGTCCCGCACGTTAGTTAAGAGCTAACATGGGAGGTATCCAGTGTCTGATGACTTTATAGTCGGAAATTCAGTCAATGACACTGGGGACTCAGAGTCTTGCAATATCATTAGCGCCACATCTCTCTCAGTCTGCAGCGGCGCTGTACCTGCACGCGGTGATGTGGGTGGAGGTTGCAACGTAACAGCAGAGTCCTCTGACATCATGGTAGAGACTTGTGAAATTTGTATACTGTCTTGTGACAACGTGGCTGCAGACTGTGAAAGCACTGAGTTATCTGACATAATTTCAGAGGACTGTGACACCATGTTGAAGTTTTCTACTGTAGGGATTTCAGGGAAGGAAGTTTCTGTGTCCTCTGCTAGCACAGGAGAGCTGATTGATGAAGGTCGTGATACAGCTGTTGGACATTCAAAAACAGAAGTCATTGCAGTTGGAACAACCAATAATGCAGGAGCTGTATCCTGAGTCAAGCAAAGATTGTTGTCAATTGTTGGACAATCCAAAACTGGGTTTTTGGCTTCTGGATCATGGTCTGGAGACTGAGAAAGTGAAAGGTCATGTTTTGGTGGGCTTGGTGATGCGGTTGGCATTGCGATCTGCTTAGGAAGATTCAGTGTGTTGCCATGGGATGTGTCTTTAGCCAGTTTGTTAATAGGTGGTGAGCAATCCAACACAGGGGTTAATTCCTTCAAATCGTTCTGAGTTTGGGAACATGGCAAGTCCTGCTGTGGTGTTGATCTGGTAGGGTTGGCAGTGCGCTGATGGAGACCTGGCATGTTTTGGGAGGATGTATCACTCTGTGTGTGAAACATGGTCTCAACAGGGAATGAACCCTGTTGAGAGAGACCACTGGGGTTGGTAAAATGTGGGAGGTGCTGGGATACATTTGGAGGGTCATCAGGGGGTGTGTCTTGTTGATGACGAAGTAGAGTGTTAAGAGGGGTTGAGTTCTGCTGGGGTTGCAGTATATTTCCAGATGTCAGGACCGTGATAAGAGGCTGTAAAAGGAGCCCAAGCCGTCTGATCTCAGCAGACACACCATCAATGGCTGACCTCACGAGCTCAGCCCCTTCCCGCATCTCCCCTCTTGCTGCTGCTAGTTCCCTTGTCAGCTGGTACCTGAAATCTGCTAGACCACGGAGAAGGTCCTCTCGATACTCATTCTGGTCTAAGGAGGTTCCTTCTGTATAAATAGGAGGACGGGGGGCTTGGGATTCTTCAACAACCCAATGTGTCACTGTATTGTTGTCTGAGTCAATGACCCCTGCAGTAAACAAAGAACCTTATAAACATCATGTATAACAACAACCTTCTTGTATACATTTTACAAACTAAAAAACGAGAAACACGTAGAAGCAACCTCCACCACTTCTTTCTGTTTATCTGAATTTGTTAAAATGTAGGTTTTATATAGCCAGTGATCAGTGCTATGGCATTTAATGGAACACTATAAATATTAATTAAAACAATTTAGTCCGGTCCAGTTTTTTGGTTTTCCATGGAAAATGCCAAGATTATAAGCCTGAGTTTACATATGCAAACTCTATTTAAATTGCTTTTATAGGTTTTAAATTTGAGGGAAAATAATTAAAGGTGATTGTGGAAAAAGAAAACACCTAACTCTGACTTTCATCTTTACTAAAACTGTGCCAAAGATCAGATTTACCAGCAGATGGAAGGGATAGAATGCTTTGCCGATATCACATCCTGTGATCTGCAAATCCTGTTATGTTATGAGAATGCAGAAAGATCAGGTGATTATGGGAGGAAGGTGTTAAAAAGACAGGAATAGGCAACCTCATTGAGAAAAGTTCAGACAGCCATGCTGAACTTCCTTTCTACAGGAGTTTACATATTACACTCACTCCTTGTAGATATTATTATAAATATACACCATCTACTTTCATATAGCTTTCCTTTACAGAGGCTGATCTGGGTATTGATGGGGCACTGTTCCCAAACAGTCTGCACTCTTTCTGACTTTATTTAGAAAGCTTTCAGCTCAGGACAAATTTGAACATGGTTTTCTGAATTTCAAAGATGCAGATTTTGCTCCAAATGATTTTTCCCAATTTTACAAACACAGAGCACGTCCCTATTGAGCTCTTACCTCCAGGAACCCAGCTCACATGTGACGGGTCGGGTTGTGCTTCCCAGCCTGGATATTGCGAGCCATGCGTTTCTCTGTCTGGTGGGAGGAGCTCATTTTCTACCAATGCCTCCCTTGCCCAGCCTCTCTCATGAGAGACTCCTGGTGGGTGGATTTCGTGCGTGATCTGTAAAGTCAAAAAAGTATTACAAAGAGGAACACTAGCAGGCACAACACTGATATTTAAACAAAGTAGCATACATTCCATTCAGAATTGCGCATAAGAAATAAACATATCTGTAGCTTAAACAAAAAAATAGATATCTAGAACTCTCCTTACTAACAGAGGGTTGCCTGAAAGTAGCAAAGGTTTGCCATGCCAGGGGCTGGTTATAGGACTGTGCACCTTATTACCAGATATCTGCTGGTTATCATATTGTCAAATACAGTATCCTATGCTGGTAAATGCTGTGTTTCTATATGTTCGCATGGAGAATAAACCATGCAATCATTTCCACTAGTTAACCCTTGTGTCTGTGTACAATGCCAGCAGGTCGTCACCAGTGAGTTATTGAATCATACCGTCACCTTGCTGATAAGGCTTCTGGGAAATTAGGGACATAGTCCTATAACGAATATCCTAAAATAAGTTTATACTCTATATATATTTACTGATAACCCAACAAAACTACCAGGAGTCTGTAAATGTAATCGAGATCACATTAATTTCGTTACTAGTAGTCACTTCAGACACAATTCCCGTCCCCTTTAGATGTTTGTATTGTGTCTTTTATGTACAGTACATCTTCTACCCTCCGTACATTATTACTTTTTGTTTATAAAGCACCAACATTTTCTGCAGCGCAGTACAAATATAGAACTAATAGATAGGCCTTTAAGACGATACGATATCCATCTGGACAAAACAGTATAAAACGGTGATCACTGCCCAAGAACCTGAAATTTAGCACAGCATATCATGGCACATGAGCTTACAATCTAAATGAGATCATGAGTAGTGAGGTGGCACTCAACACTAGTACAGTCACAGTATATGCACCTGCATTGGTCCTGCATTTAGTGTGCTAGCTTCAAGTTCGCCTGGATGCACATTTTGTCGATGCAATTTTGGTTGAAAAGGATCAACTTCATTCTGATGGCCATATTCAGACTTCAGCATCTCAGGACTGATATCAGTGTATTCTGGGACAGGCTAGAAAGGGGCAACGAGAAAATACTCTAACAGGGTGCAAGAGAAACAGGACTCGGGGTGGAACAGATTGAGTGATAAAAAGAAACAAAAGAAGTGAAGAGAGAGAACGTGGAGAGAGTGACTGACCTCTTCAACATCTTCATCAACCTTCTGTATTTTCTTGGGTCTGCCCCTTGGCCTTTTTGGGATCTGTGAACCAAGAATTAGACGTATTACAAAAAACACTGTATGTTACCTCGACCACAAGAATCCTTTCACAGTTGCTTTCCCTTTCCTGCACTACCTTCAAACTTTTTAATCTGCTTCTTTTTGTCTCCATACTACAAGATCTAGCCATCAACTGCCCAATAGGTTCTGTCACAGTAGATACTATGTCTCCCATCTGCCCAACAGATTTGTCACAGCACGCACTATGCAAGTCCACTGACTTCAAAAAAGTTCCCATAATGTCAGTCCAACAGGTTTCATGATGTCTCTGTCACATTCGCACAGTGTCTCCAATCTATCCCCATCACCACCTCTGGTTTTGGCTCCAGTTCTATTTTCCGAGGTCTTCCTCTTCCCCTCTTAATACCAATCATGATTTCGGTGGAAGCAGACTGGCAGCTGATCTGCAGAAGAAATAGACAGACTACATTGCAGAGATATTGTGACCATCTTGCTCAGCATTACCATATACACTTAACCCGTTCGGAGCTCCACAAATAGAGGACACATAGCACTTACCCCATTCATTGACCCGTGCTTCTCACGTTCCATTTTAAATGAGACAGCTCCGACCTGGACCTGAAGAAACACAAAACAAAAAAAATCCCCCTTATATTTAATATTGCATGCACAAACAGGTGCCCAGGTGCTGTACAATGTGTCAAAAACAAGTTGGCGTGTTGAATATATTGCATGAAAAATAAAATATCACGTATGTAAATCACGGCTTGACAAATTTGCTTTGAATCTATTAGCCAGCTAAAAAAGTTAGGAACCATTTTTTTTTCTACAACAAAATTACAATTCTTACAGGGACCCTATAGTCACCAGATCCACTACAGCTTCATGTAGGGGTTCTGATGGCTATATCATGTCCCTGCAGGCAGGGTTTACATTGCTGCCTAATACTACCTCTAGTGACAGTCACTCAGACGGCTACTATAGGTGATTCCAGTACAGATGTCCAGTACTGCACAGTTGCACCACCCTCTGCATGGAGGCGCTGAATGATCCCCATAGAGATGCTGATTGGCACTGCATTTTGTCGCACAGATCTTCAAGATTGATTATTTCAGCCACAGCTAGACAGGCATGGCATAGGAAAAAAAAGGTGAGTAAAAACACCTCTCTTATGTGATCGGAGTGGGCCAGTAACCTAAATAGACACACACACATACAGATAGATACACTCTCAAACTGACACACACTCACATTTTTAAAATATTTTTTTATTTCGTTTATGTCCATCCAGCCTCCCTACCTTTGGGAGAGCTGGAGTGAATCCTTTCCTTGGGGTTCTTTATGGCTTGTGTAATCTTCAAGCTCTTCTCCATCGCACGCGGCTTAGTGATGCCGGGGCCGGAGTGATGTCATGTTTCGGCTCCTGGCATCACAGCAGAGCATGCGAGGGAGCAGAGCAAGAACTGCAGGAAGATTTCTGCTCCCTTGCCACCCAGCTCCACGCTCCCATGGCAGGCCGGCTCCACGATCCCTTGGCAAACAACCAGGTGCCAGGACAAAAATCCTAGTCGCCATGGCGACCTGGGATTTGTCGAGCCCTGATGTAAATAAATAATAATTAAAAAAAAAAAAAAGACAAATACACTCGCAAACATTTTGTTGAAAGTACCAGGGACATAAGCATTTCAATGTCTAACTTAAAAGCATAACATTTAAATACAAAAATGCCATTGTGGAAAGAGTTATAAATGTGATCTAAGCATACCTAGTCACATTTAAAATACAGAAACTACATAAATGTGTACATTAAAATGACAACTGATCATAACATTTTTAGTTAATGGTTACACTCTGTAATCCACCAACCAACATGGTATCAAAATCCACTTTTGCAAATATACATACACACACACACACACATTATACTGTACACAGATTAAGAGTGACGTTCCATTTAAAGGACCTCAATTCAATAGATCTAATATTGCAAATAGAAATGAAATTAACCTGAATAAATGGAATACAATAGCTGCTTTTGATTCAAGAAGAATATTAAAAACTATAATAGTCTGAAATTGGTAAGCATCAGAAATCCTCAGATTGGTCACTAGAGAGCCTATCAGTGGCTCCCCATTGAGATAAGTGAAAAACGTACAAATATTTTTTACTCTCTAGGAAGCGTATTAATAGCCCAGTCAGAGGCTTCCTGATTGAAGCAGAAATGAAGGGGCAGAGCAATCGGGTGCGGGCTTGCAGACGGGGTTGAACCTTTCATTCCTCAGTTAATTAGTGCATTCTGAAGACTCTTTCAGGTACATATCTATTTTTATATTTTGCATTTATTTTATTTTTTTAAAAAGGAACCCCCTGGACACCGTAAGAAATTAATCGCAATTAAGGTATGATGCAAAGTGCCACTGGGGAAATTATAATAAGAAGTGTGAGCGCAGCTGCCAGTGTCAGAGAGGCCAAAGGAGTGAGTAGGGACAGGAGGAACGGTGGTTCACCGGATTAGGGAGCCATGTGATCGGCGGACCCCCAAAGTAAGTATTGGCTTGCTGACATTGCCCTCCCTTCCAGAACAGCCCATCGGGCAGGAACCACCTTGACAATTAGGAAAACAAACATGGAAGGAAGAGAGCGAAAGAAAGGGCGTGTTGATCAATGACACCAACCCAAGACTGCTCTTCAGGGCTGTAACTCTTGCAATGCACCAGACAATGAAGTCTATCATTAGATACTCGAGAATACAAAATGGACTGGACCTCAAATTCTTCTTGACCCTCCACTACAAAAGTAGACGGAACGATGGACTGCCTAGTGAATTTATTACACCCGAGAGGCTTCAATAAAGAGACTGAAAGGAATTGTGGAATAGTAAAGCAGAAGGTAATTATAATTTATACGAAACAGGATTCAGTCGTCTCAAGACCCTATAGAGAGCAATATATTTTGGAGCAATTTTTATCGTTGGAACCTTCAATCTAATGGTTTTTGTTACTAAGCCAAACGCCATCACTAAACTGAAAGTTAGGAACCGCTTGTCTATGCCAATTAGCAGGCATTCCCTGTGAGGGGGAAGGATACCGGGAGAATGGGGGGATGAAAACCATAATTGAGGTAAAAAGAACTGTCGAGGGGTTTCTCGTTGATTGCTGTTGTGAGCATATTCAGCCCAAGGAAGCAGAACCACCTAATTGTTGATTACTAGAAACAAAACACCTCAAGTATTGTTGCAATGCGTGATTGGTTCTTTCAGCAGTACCGTTTGATTGTGGATAAAATTCAGAACTGAGGCATAGTTTAACATCTAGCTGGGTAGTAAACTTTTCAGAAACGAGATATGAATTGAGGACATGTGTCAGATACAATTTCATTGGGTATTCAGTGTAAACGGAACATTTCTGTAGTAAATATGTCTGCTAATTCCAAGGAAGAGGGTAGTAGTTTAAGCTAAGAATACCAAATCGGCCATTTTAGAAAATCTGTCTACAATGGTTAATATTACAGCTTTGATACCAGATTTGGTCAGCTCTGCTATGAAGTAAATCGACATACTGGAACATGGTTTCATGGGAATATCTAGTGGTTGTAGTAGACCATATGGAAAAGTGTGAGGGATTTTTGATTAAACACGTGCAATACAGGCATGTATGTATTATTTTAGAAACCTGTTTGAAACAAGGCCATGAGAAATGCATCTTATTCATTTCTGGGTGACCAGCAATCATTTTTGTCATGGTGTAAGTTCAAATTTATTTTGTTCAGGAGTTTGCCTCAGAATCTCCTTTTGTTTTTTCCCTTATTTTAGACCACGGTAGTCAAATTGTGTAGTATTTTAGAACAAATAATAATGTTAGTGGTAGTAACAATATATTCTCTATGGAATCGTCTGTGAAAATTCTACTTTAGTTGGTAAAAGGGTTTCAAATGTACGAGATAAAGTGTCCGCTTTCACATTCTTTGTGTCTGGCCTATAAGCAAGTACAAAGTTAAAGCATGAAGAACAAAGACCAATATGCTTGTCTGGCAATTAAGCTTTTAGTTTCTCCAATATGATATGTTTTAACGATCTGTTCGTATAGTAACACTTGTGGATGAGCCCTCAAGACATGACGATGGCTAATAACTCAACGATCTTGTAATTCGTTTTAGACTATTTCCACAGAGATGGAGTAGCGGATCAAGAGACACGCTGAGAGAGTATTGCTCCAAATCCAGTTTCAGAAGCATCTACGTCCACAAGAAAAGGAAGGGAAATATCGGGATGAATCAAGATGGGACCTGAAACAAAATCAGCCTTAAGGTGCCAAAAGCAGCCAGAGCTTCAGGAGTCCATATCCGATTCTCTTTTCCTATTATGGTCAGCAAGGATGGAGGAAACCCCCTAATAAACCTCCTGTAATTATTTGAAAAACCTAGGAATCTCTGTATGGCTTTTAATTCCTTTAGGTACGAGCCATTTACTTATGGCTTCTAGCTTCTTTGGATCCATTTGGAATCCAGATTCCAAAATACATATACCTCAAGAAATTCACCGGTTTTTGGTCAAAGAGACATTTTTCATAATTACAGCATAATCAATTTCTAACCGCTTTTGTAAAACCAATCTCACTTGTTTGTGATGAGTCTTTAGTTCAGAGGAAAATATCAGAATATCATCTAAACAGACTGTAACGAATGCATGTAAATAGTCTCTCAATACATAATTTATCAGACACTGGAAGATGGTTGGTGCATTACAGATTTCTAATGGCATGACAGTGCACTCGCAATGCCAATATCTAGTCTGAAAGGACTTAATCTCCTTCTCTGATCCTTATTAAATTGCACGTGGATCAAATTTAGTAAACACTCTAGAATACAGGGCTCAACAAATCCCAGGTGCCAGCACGGCGACTAAAAATTTCGCCCTGGCGCCTGAGATTTGCCAGTTCTCTAGTTAGTGTGGCCGCTGAGGAAGCTTTGACTGCGGCCATCACGGGGAATATTGGAGGCGGCCGAGGCAGTTTGCCGCCCTGAGGAGTACAGAGGCGGCTGGCCGCCCGGGCGACCATTGTGAGCAACGCACGAGGGAGCAGTACTCTGCTCTCTCGGGCTGTCTAATGATGCCAGGAGCTGGAATATGACGTCATTCCGGCCCCGGCATCGTTACAGAGCGCAAGGGAGCAGAAAGGAGCTACAGGCACAGTACTGCTCCTTCACACACAGGAAGAGAGCAGCCCCACTGGACCCCAGGAAAGAACAACTTAAATCTCCCAAATGTAAGGAGGCTGAGTGGGCTTCAATTAAAACAAAAATGTAAGTGTGTGTGAACCTGTGAGTGTGTGTGTGTGTGAGAGAGACTGTCAAGAGTGTGTGTGAGCGCCTGTCAGAGTTTGTGTGTGCGAGTCTGTCAGAGTGTGTGCATGCAAGCCTGTTGTCAGTGTAAGAGTGTGTGAGAGCCTGTCCAGAGTGTGTGTATGTGAGCATGTCAGAGTGTGTGCGCGTGTTTAGGTACCTGCCCCCACCGATCGCACAAGGAAGCTGTTTTTTTTTTCTCACCGTTTCCCCCCATTTTCCTACACAGTGCCAGTTTTGCCATGGCTGAAATTATCAATCTTTATGATCTCAGCTAAGCCAATGTTTTCCCTTAGGAAAGCATTGGGAGGATTTTGTGCATGCGCATCAAATGTACCAATCCGCATCTCCTCATAGAGATGCATTAAATTAATGAATCTCTATGAGGAACACTAAGTGCTCCATGCAAAGCTTGGATACACTGAACCTGGGTGCTGCAGCAGTGACCCAGAACTCTCTAGTGGCTGTCGGAGTGACTGTCACTAGAGGTGTTACTAAGCAGCAATGTAAACACTGCCTTTTAACAGAAAAGGCAGTGTTTACACTGAAACGCCTGCAGAGACAGGCTATAGACACCAGAACAATTACATCAAGCTGTAGTGCTTCTGGTGACTATATTGTCCCTTTAAAAATTGCATTTCCTCATTGAAAATGACTGGCTCCTAACTTTTTTTTTTAGCTGGCTCCTAGATTCCAAACAAATTTGTCAAGCCCTGCTCTAGAGCACTTTAATCTGTCAAAAAGTTCAGTGATCACAGGAATAGGATACACATTTTGTAGCTTGTCTAAACGACGGTAGTCGATACAAAGCCCCCTCCTTTTTTGAGACAAAGGAGAATCTCGCTCCTGCTGCAGACGAGGAGCTTCTACAAAATCCCTTAGCTAAAATATCCTTCCAAACTCTGAGATTCTTTTAACAGAGAGAGGACACACAGAACCTCCAGTTGGTATAATCCGTAGAAGCAAATCTATCGTACAATCATAAAAACAATGCTGGACAGTTTATCAGCCTCTTTCTTGTCAGGGTTGGTAGGGTTCAGGTACTTCTGTACACAAGAGTCGTATTTGGGACGTTGATTAAACAGAATGGCTTAACCAGCTGGTGAACTTGCTAAGTCTTGTAAAACACGAAAATGTGTACGTTACCAAGATCTGTCCTGTGAGTTTGCGCTTTTCACTGTATGTCCAATTTAATTCCCATTAGAAGCCTAATAAATATTTTTGAAGGAACGGGCAGTGACCACCGTCTTTGTGAACACCGCTTGCTATTGTTTCTTTAAAGATTTGTTTGGATTGACTATACGAGGGTGAATAACTGAATTAAGACAGCACACCTGGAATTATTTTAAACTACACTGGGAAAAGGAAGAATATAATTATTATATATATATGGAAGGAGGTATTTGCACTATTCATATTTTTTTTTTCCTATATGAATATTATTGCGGTAACCATGTCCCCAAAATGTGAAGGGGGAGGTGAAAATTAGAGGAATTGGTGTCGGTGACGTAATGAAAAAGGAGCACGTTAACAGCGGTCAGGGTCGGAGGCCAAAGGAGTGAGCAGGGACTGGAGAAACGGTAGTCTGCTAGATCGGGGCACCATATGATTGGTGGACCGCTAAGATCAGTATCAGCTTGCTGACAGAAGGAGGATTATAGGATCTTTTGATCAGCAAACTGTACAGCCAAAGATAAACCAACATTCACCCTAATTGGCAGAGCATTTGTAAAATTTCAGAGAAGGCTGATTTCTGGCCCTCCATGTAGCTTATGGAGTATAATGGAAGCCCAATCTACAACAGATGGTTACTCTAAGCACAATGATCACTTCACTTATTTGAAGTGATCAAGGTGCCTGGAGTTGTTATGTGCAGTATTGACTATGACACACCGAGTTGTATGTATACATAGTTTAACCCCTCAGATGCTGGAGGAGTAAATGGCCAAGTCATTGGGCATCATTAGCCAGCCGAACAACCATTCCAGGTGGCTAAAATGCAAATATGGCATCCGACACCAGCACCACAGCATGTAGGCACTAAAAACATGGCCTTGGTGCTGGATCGAGGTAAATTTTAGTTGTTTTTTTTTGGTGGGATGACATACCAGCACAGTAAGAGTTACTCTAACTACTCAAAAATACTGGGTTTTTTTTGGTTTGAATAATCCTTTAATGTTTTAATATAGGGATTTAAATTGCCCAATTATGATTGTGCAAGGGTTATGCAGGGGTTGTTCTTTATCTCCATTGTTCTCTTCAGCACCAGATCTCTTTGCAGACTGCAAACTGGTAGATATCTAATCACAGGACTGGAAACTAAACATCACTCTCCCACTTAGCATGGTCTCTATTGGGAATCATCTCATCTCATATATTTAGAAATATATATCCCTAAACATGATGATGTTGCACTTGGAGAACATAATAGAATTCTGTCTGATATAGAAAAACTAAGGAAATATTGGGGTTCTCTTACTTTGTCTTTTTCACACTGCCCATTCATATAAAGAAGTTGGATGGCAAACTTTCTAATATGTTCTGTCTACATTTTGCTCACTGAAAATTTGCTCTTTCAAAATGGGGGGGGGCACAATACCCATACACATCCTGAAGTGGCCAGGGTCTTTCATGAGTGGAGGATTTTCTAAACATTTCAGATATAAACACAACCATAAAACACATTTCTTGTTCTGATAATTTTACTTTACTATCCACAAATTCAGAGTTTCATTGATACTATTCTTCCTCGTATTACGTGACAATGATTGTTCCAATCCCATCATTTGTTTACTGAATAGGAATAGTCAGAGCACTATCCCCCTAGTTCAATACACAATGTACTATGACCGACCCCTGACTATAATTCACATTTCTCTGGCCCACACAAATGGCGCCTATGCTTTTTAAATATAGAAGAAGAGGACATTTAGATGATTTGTTATAAGATTTGCTTATTCTGGATATAGCTTAGTGATTATTAGGAAGCCCTCCTTAAGGTCAATTTCACCAACTCAAACGAGGTAGCCATATTTGGCAGACTGCAACTTAATTCCACAAAATATTCTAAAATTATTCAAATAACTGGGTAAGAAGACAGTGGAGGGACCAAGAAAGGTTTGCGGGGCGTGGATGAAGTAAGTGTGACTATGTTTTGTCATTTATGTTAATACGCAATATATTGTCAATATAGTATTTACATCTACTGCACATTTTCTTCCTCAATATAAATTGTGAAACAAAATGAAGTGATCGATGGGGTGGAGGGCAGAGCTGTCCATGTCATTTTGCTCTTCCACCAAAACTTTCTGAATTGAGATTTTTTTCCCCATGCTTCTTACTATGAGCAAAGCTCAGCCAAAAGAAGGCTGTAGAAATGTCAAAACAGGTCCCTTTAAATACTGTAAACATACTGCGGGTCACATGTAATCTTGATGGAATATTTACAATACAATATACATTCAGGTATATATTCTTATCCTTTTGTATAACACTTGCACTCTTCTTCTGCAATTTTCACCAGTGGTCAAGTGTCCTGCCTTCAACATCTGTGTCTTTATGACAACTCTCTGCAATTCACAGCATTCTTACCATTTTATTTTTATTTGTGCTCCCACACGGTCTCCCTCGTCCCCTTTTTTTCTCTTTTCCATCTTTTCCACGGAAAAATCCAAATTTATCTTTCTTGTGGAGCAACATTCCCTTTCCCTTGACTACTGGGCTCATGATGGTCAGTTGATCCCCGACTCCAGATTAAGGTCCTTCTTTGACAATAACCACTTGCCTTCCAATGCGACCTAGCAAAATAACCGTCAACAAACATATAGCTAAGCGTTAGTTTACTATAATTAACAGGGGAAAAAAACAGTTACAGCTGGATATACCCTACATAAGTGCACAGGACAAAATTGGGCTTATTTTTTCTATATATATTATTTAAGGTCAAGTAAGGAGAATGGGCATTCCACTGAATACTTTACCTGGGAAGGATGTCAACCACATTAATAACAGGAGGTTGAACATTAACCTGCAGTTACTCACCGGCAGGTATATTTGGGGGAGGCATGTGGGCAGACACACTCCCATTAATTCCATCACAAGGGATGTGCGTATAGGGAGGCAGGTAAATAACTTTAACCCTTTCGTAGCTACACAGCAAGTGAAAGGGAAAGGAGGGATCCCATCTTATTAGTATTTTAATCCCCAAACCACTAATTAGGAATAGCAGGATCCCAGCAAAGGTAATGACCATCATAGCTGCGGGGACTATATACCCCAATTTCTTTACTCAAAATCAGGAGTTTATTGAGTAGAGGGAAAAGTGAGAAACTTGGCATTAATTTCTCTCTCCCCGACCCACAGAGGAAGCAGGGAACGTGGAAGTCTCACACTGCCAAGCATGCTGTGAGAGTGGAGGGGCCATTCTGCCAGGCCTTCCAAACTAAGGTGTGTTCTGGGGAACTGACTAAATTTATTTCCAAATGGTTCTTTCCACCATCCACACGAGGGAAGAAAAGAAGAGGGAGGTCACTCATGCTATCTTGTAGGTCCTTGGAGACCAAAACAATTGGGTTTGCTTTAAGTATGTTTAAAGGACCCCTATAGGCACCCAGACAACTTCAGCCCAATGAAGTGGTCTGAGTGCCAGTTCCCCCTACTTTTAACCCTGGAGCTGAAAACATGTTTACATTGGGGGTTAATCCAGCCTCTAGTGACTGTCTCCCTGACAGGCGACAGAGGCCACTTCCGCGATTCTCAGTGAGTAAATCGCACTTATTTGAAGCTGGACGACCTCACATAGGAAAGCATTGAGTAATTTTTTTCCTATGGGGGGCTTGAATGGCCTCCGGCAGCGCATGTGCATTCGGCTCCACTAGGGAGCGGACGTCGGCAGGGGGAGGAGAGGTCACCAGTGCAGAGAGAGTTTATTTTACAAAATTAAAGTTCTGATCAAAATAAAAACTAGTGTTTGAGCTGTATGTTTGTTCATCCATAATTTACCTCTTTCATATTAAGTGTACCCACACTTATTATATATGATTTTGTTCAGGAGATAACCGGCTTTCATTTCACATCAAATATTTATATTTGGAACACAGTTTAGTATAAATAAAATCTAGAAACAAAAGTGTGAGAAATTAAGAAATGTTATTTTCCAAGTTCTGGCTGGGATGAATGTCATGACACTTAGCATTTACTGCAATAAAACACACATTTGTATGCTGTGATGTACCCTCAGTACAATGATACCCCCCATGTTCAGATTTCACTGTGTTTTGGAGCTTGACCATTTCAGTTTTTACAAATGGAATTTGCCAGATTGGCTAGTTGGGCCCATGTTTACTTTGAAACAGTATGGCAGCCCAGAAATGTCTGACAAATAAAACAGTACCCTCCCCTGAACATGTGTTATGGAATTTTGGAAAGTTATAGGTAAAATATGGGGCTTCACAAATTAAATTCACTGGAATTTCTGCCTGGGTTTTCAGGCAGATTCCTAAATATAGAAATAATAAATTCACATAATTATGTAGAAAATAATACAAATAATACATAAATATACAAATAAAAGCTTTTTACTAAGAAGGCTGCACTCACCTGAACATGCATACATTATAGGTTGCTGCTGGGGTCAATTCATACAACATACAAAACCCAACGCACTCACTCATTCACTAAACAGCAAAGTCTTGCAGAATGTAATAGTTGTATATAAAACCACCTCATCTATGCAAAAAATAATGGGATTTAGTTACAATATATGATCATAATTGCATAGGCCTGCCACAACATTAATGTACCCCATTCCTGATAGGTCCTACTCTAGCAGCCTAATGCTTGCGCTTATAAAGATAAATGCACTTACTTGGGAAATGCTTCCTCCTGGGACTCTCTGCAGGGCAATGTTAAATAGTGTTTTGGAATGAGGCACCTGTGACAGGGAGGGGTGCAAAACCAAGGCGTTCGCCTAGACTTATATATATATATATATATATATATGGACTGCAATCACGTTAACATATACATAAGAGAGTCGAGGCTAACTGCCTGGACGGCATAGCATGCCCTACTGGCGATAAAAGTTGCTTCAAGCATCATAAGCATTATAGCCTGTTGTAATGCTTAGGAGTATCCAGTAATGGGGCAAACCGTTTTGCAATGGTTTGCCCACTTAGCGCAGACGGTCTTCCTGTGGCCAATGATGACGTTTGGTTTCTGCAGAGCTGCAGAAGCCAGATGTCGATCCCACAGGCCATTCATTTGCTGAAAGCATTAGCTGTCCACTCTCAGCCAATGAATAGGAATATGCACATGTATGGACATATAGGTATGCACAGAATGGACACTAGCCAGTTGTAACTCATTTTGCGGGCTGGCTAATGACACCACAATGACACAAACAGAGGTGGAGTTACACCACCTGCAGCATAGGGGTTAAACTCCATAGGTGCAGTATTTCATAGCACAACACTGCACATACAGACTTCAGTGATTTGAAGTGGTCATAGTGTTTGGAGTAACCCCTTTATACTATACTTTTGTATGTTGGTATATTGCCACACACAGGATTATTGAGCAACGTGAGAATTTAAAGTGAATTTCAAATTTAAAGGTCAAAATAGTCAAACTGCAAAAATTCTCTAAGTCAGCCGTGCTTTCAGTTGGCTACTCTGGCCTTAAATTTAAATCCTGGGTTATTTATTTACGTAAAAAATTGTCAAAATCAAAAGTTAATTTCAAATTTAAGCCAAAATAGACAACAACAAAAAAAAGGTTTTTGCTGACTTTTAGATTTTATTTTTATTTGGCCTTAAATTTGCCATTCAATTTGAATTTGCAATAATAACCCTGTCACATTTTACCTATTTTACATAATAAAGAAAATTAAAGGAAAATCGATTTTACATTTTTTTTTTATACTGTCCTGTATCTGTGAATTAATAATAATAATAATAATAATAATAATGGGCGGTCTGATTTTCTATATATTTTACAGACAGCCAGCCAGCCAGCCAGCCCATATGGCAGTGTATAGTGATAGTATAATGACAGCCAGGATTTACAGACACCCTGCCATGTTGGATTCACTAATTCTCTATAAACACAGAGCTCTCTGTCCCTCTGCCTGGGTGAGCAGTGCTGGCTGCTGGCTGCCCACATACCTGGCAGAGCTGCAGGGAGTCACAGAGCCCGGGGTGTGCACGGCGCTGGGTGCACAGTGCTGGGTACACTGGCTGCAGGCTCGGGCAGATCCACTCACAGTTCCCGGGAATCTTCAATGCAGCCCTTTCTGTGCTCACACAACTCTCCTCCACTGACTGCACAGCGTCACTTCCGCTTCCGGTCCCAGGCAGCAACAGCAGACTGCATGCAATGTGACTTCCCCTGACTGTGTGCACTGTGCTGCGCTCTCAGGCTCCCTCTGACTGTATGCAGTGTGCCCTTCCAGGCTCTCTCTGACTGTATGCACTGTGACTTCCTCTGACTGTATGCACTGTGCTGCTCTCCCAGGCTCTCTCTGACTGTATGCACTGTGCTGCTCTCCCAGGCTCCCTCTGACTGTATGCACTGTGCTGCTCTCCCAGGCTCCCTCTGACTGTATGCACTATGCTGCTCTCCCAGGCTCCCTCTGACTGTGTGCACTGTGCTGCTCTCCCAGGCTCCCTCTGACTGTATGCACTGTGCTGCTCTCCCAGGCTCCCTCTGACTGTATGCACTGTGCTGCTCTCCCAGGCTCCCTCTGACTGTATGCACTGTGCTGCTCTCTCTGACTGTATGCACTGTGCTGCTCTCCCAGGCTCCCTCTGACTGTATGCACTGTGCTCTCGTAGGCTCTCTGACTGTGCTGCTCTGTGCTTCCCTTCCTAGGCTCTTCTGACTGTAGGCGTGCCTGTGCTGCGCCCCAGGCTCTCTTCGACTGTGGCACTAAAGCGTTTCCCTAGGCTTTCTGATTGTGGCGTACTGTGCGTTTTCTTGGATTGTGGCGTACTGTGCTGTTTCTTTTCCAGGCTTTCTGACTGTGGCGTTTCTGTGCTGCTCTCGTGTAGGCTCTCTGACTGGCGCGTGCTCTGTGCTGCTCTCCTAGGCTCTCTGACTGTGGCGTACCGTATGGCGCCCTGTGTTCCTCTCTGACTGTGCACTGTGCTGCTTCCCAGGCTCTCTCTGACTGTATGCACTGTGGCAGTTTCTCTGACTGTATGTACTACAGCGTTTCTACCAGGCTCCCTCTGACTGTATACACTGTGCTGCTCTCCCAGGCTCTCTCTGACTGTATGCACTGTGCTGCTCTCTCTGACTGTATGCACTGTGCTGCTCTCCCAGGCTCTCTCTGCCGATATGCACTGTGCTGCTCTGCCAGGCTCTCTCTGCCTGTATGCACTGTACTGCTCTCCCAGGCTCCCTCTGACTGTATGCAATGTGCTGCTCTCCCAGGCTCTCTCTGCCTGTATGCACTGTGCTGCTCTCCCAGGCTCCCTCTGACTGTATGCACTGTGCTGCTCTCCCAGACTCCCTCTGACTGTATGCACTGTGCTGCTGTCCCAGACTCCCTCTGGCTGTATGCACTGTGCTGCTCTCCCAGGCTCCCTCTGATTGTATGCACTGTGCTGCTCTCCCAGGCTCCCTCTGACTGTATGCACTGTGCTGCTCTCCCAGGCTCCCTCTGACTGTATGCACTGTGCTGCTCTCCCAGGCTCCCTCTGACTGTATGCTCTGTGCTGCTCTCCCAGACTCCCTCTGACTGTATACACTGTGCTGCTCTCCCAGGATCCCTCTGACTGTATACACTGTGCTGCTCTCCCAGGCTCCCTCTTACTGTATGCACTGTGCTGCTCTCCCAGGCTCCAACTGACTGTATGCAATGTGCAGCTCTCTCTGACTGTATGCACTGTGCTGCTCTCCCAGGCTCCCTCTGACTGTATGCACTGTGCTGCTCTCCCAGGCTCCCTCTGACTGTATGCACTGTGCTGCTCTCCCAGGCTCCCTCTGACTGTATGCACTGTGCTGCTCTCCCAGGCTCTCTCTGCCTGTATGCACTGTGCTGCTCTCCCAGGCTCCCTCTGACTGTATGCTCTGTGCTGCTCTCCCAGGCTCCCTCTGACTGTATGCTCTGTGCTGCTCTCCCAGGCTCCCTCTGACTGTATGCACTGTGCTGCGCTCTCAGGCTCCCTCTGACTGTATGCACTGTGCTGCTCTCCCAGGCTCCCTCTGACTGTATGCACTGTGCTGCGCTCTCAGGCTCCCTCTGACTGTATGCACTGTGCTGCTCTCCCAGGCTCCCTCTGACTGTATGCACTGTGACTTCCCCTGACTGTATACTCTGTGCTGCTCTCCCAGGCTCCCTCTGACTGTATGCACTGTGACTTCCTCTGACTGTATACACTGTGACTTCCTCTGACTGTATACACTGTGCTGCTCTCCCAGGCTCCCTCTGACTGTATGCACTGTGCTGCGCTCCCAGGCTCCCTCTGACTGTATGCACTGTGACTTCCTCTGACTGTATACACTGTGACTTCCTCTGACTGTATACTCTGTGCTGCTCTCCCAGGCTCCCCCTGACTGTATGCACTGTGCTGCTCTCCCAGGCTCTCTCTGACTGTATGCACTGTGCTGCTCTCTCTGACTGTATGCACTGTGCTGCTCTCCCAGGCTCTCTCTGACTGTATGCACTGTGCTGCTCTCTCTGACTGTATGCACTGTGCTGCTCTCCCAGGCTCTCTCTGACTGTATGCACTGTGCTGCTCTCCCAGGCTCTCTCTGACTGTATGCACTGTGCTGCTCTCCCAGGCTCCCTCTGACTGTATGCACTGTGCTGCGCTCTCAGGATCCCTCTGACTGTATGCTTTGTGCTGCTCTCCCAGGCTCCCTCTGACTGTATGCTCTGTGCTGCTCTCCCAGGCTCCCTCTGACTATGCACTGTGCTGCGCTCCCAATCCCCTCTGACTGCCACTGTGCACTCCCAGGCTCTCTGACTGCCTTTTTCATGCTGCCCCCCTCTGACTGCTTATGCACTGTGCTGCTCTCCCAGACTCCCCTCTGACTGTATGCACTGTGCACATCCCAAACTCCTCTGACTGTATACACTGTACTTTTTCCTCTCCCAGGCTCTCTCTGACACAACATGCACTGTACTGCCCTCTCTGACTGTATGCACTGTGCTGCTACTTCCAGGCTCCTCTCCTGACTGTATGCTCTGTGCTGCTCTCGGCTCCCTCTGACTGCCCATGCTCTATTGCTGCTCTCTAGGCTCCCTCTGACTGTGTGCACTGTGCTGCTCTCCCAGGCTCCCTCTGACTGTGTGCACTGTGCTGCTCTCCCAGGCTCTCTGACTGTATGCACTGTGCTGCTCTCCCAGGCTTCCCCTGACTGTATGCACTGTGCTGCGCTCCCAGGCTCCCTCTGACTGTATACACTGTGCTGCTCTCCCAGGCTCTCTCTGACTGTATGCACTGTGCTGCTCTCTCTGACTGTATGCACTGTGCTGCTCTCCCAGGCTCTCTCTGCCGATATGCACTGTGCTGCTCTGCCAGGCTCTCTCTGCCTGTATGCACTGTACTGCTCTCCCAGGCTCCCTCTGACTGTATGCAATGTGCTGCTCTCCCAGGCTCTCTCTGCCTGTATGCACTGTGCTGCTCTCCCAGGCTCCCTCTGACTGTATGCACTGTGCTGCTCTCCCAGACTCCCTCTGACTGTATGCACTGTGCTGCTGTCCCAGACTCCCTCTGGCTGTATGCACTGTGCTGCTCTCCCAGGCTCCCTCTGATTGTATGCACTGTGCTGCTCTCCCAGGCTCCCTCTGACTGTATGCACTGTGCTGCTCTCCCAGGCTCCCTCTGACTGTATGCTCTGTGCTGCTCTCCCAGGCTCCCTCTGACTGTATGCTCTGTGCTGCTCTCCCAGGCTCCCTCTGACTGTATGCACTGTGCTGCGCTCTCAGGCTCCCTCTGACTGTATGCACTGTGCTGCTCTCCCAGGCTCCCTCTGACTGTATGCACTGTGCTGCTCTCCCAGGCTCCCTCTTACTGTATGCACTGTGCTGCTCTCCCAGGCTCCAACTGACTGTATGCAATGTGCAGCTCTCTCTGACTGTATGCACTGCGCTGCTATCCCAGGCTCTCTCTGATTTTGCTGCTTTCTCTGAATGTATGCACTGTGCTGCTTTCTCTGAATGTATGCACTGTGCTGCTTTCTCTGAATGTATGCACTGTGCTGCTATCTCTGAATGTATGCACTGTGCTGCTCTCTCTTAATGTATGCACTGTGACTTCCCCTGACTGTATGCACTGTGCTGCTCTCCCATGCTACCACTGACTGTATGCACTGTGCTGCTCTCCCATGCTACCACTGACTGTATGCACTGTGCTGCTCTCCCATGCTCCTTCTGACTGTATACACTGTGCTGCTCTCCCAGGCTCCAACTGACTGTATGCACTGTGCAGCTCTCTCTGACTGTATGCACTGCGCTGCTATCCCAGGCTCTCTCTGATTTTGCTGCTGTCTCTGACTGTATGCACTGTGCTGCTCTCTCTGAATGTATGCACTGTGCTGCTCTCTCTTAATGTATGCACTGTGACTTCCCCTGACTGTATGCACTGTGACTTCCCCTGACTGTATGCACTGTGCTACTCTCCCATGCTTCCCCTGACTGTATGCACTGTGCTGCTCTCCCATGCTTCCACTGACTGTATGCACTGTGCTGCTCTCCCATGCTTCCCCTGACTGTATGCACTGTGCTGCTCTCCCATTCTACCACTGACTGTATGCACTGTGCTGCTCTCCCATGCTACCACTGACTGTATGCACTGTGCTGCTCTCCCAGGCTCCCTCTGATTGTATGCACTGCGCCGCTCCCTCTGACTGTGCGCACTGCACCGCTCCCTCTGACTGTGCACACTGCGCCGCTCCCTCTGACTGTGCGCACTGCGCCGCTCCCTCTGACTGTGCGCACTGCGCCGCTCCCGCCGACTGTGCGCACTGCGCCGCTCTCACTCTGACTGTATGCACTTTGGTGCTGGATGCACATTCAGTTATGTAATACATCATGAATAAATTTGAATTCACAATTCTCTACCTCAATTTAAATCCATAATATACATAAACATCTGCATATTTTATGCTTATTACAAATTCAAATATAGACACATTAAAAAGAGACAAGTAGACAAAGATGACAAAACCAAAATAATCCCAACAGATTACTGTTATTTTTAACTCGATTGGCTAAAAAATTTTAATATCCGTTTTAAAACAATTAAAGGAACACTAAGTCACCTAAATTACTTTAGCTAAATAAAGCAGTTTTAGTATATAGATCATTCCCCTGCAATTTCACTGCTCAATTCACTGTCATTTAGGAGTTAAATCACTTTGTTTCTGTTTATGCAGCCCTAGCCACACCTCCCCTGGCTATGATTGACAGAGCCTGCGTGAAAAAAAAAACTGGTTTCACTTTCAAACAGATGTAATTTACCTTAAATAATTGTATCTCAATATCTAAATTGAACTTTAATCACATACAGGAGGCTCTTGCAGGGTCTAGCAAGCTATTAACATAGCAGGGGATAAGAAAATCTTAATTAAACGGAACTTGCAATAAAGAAAGCCTAAATAGGGCTCTCTTTACAGGAAGTGTTTATGGAAGGCTGTGCAAGTCACATGCAGGGAGGTGTGACTAGGGTTCATAAACAAAGGGATTTAACTCCTAAATGGCAGAGGATTGAGCAGTGAGGCTGCAGGGGCATGTTCTATACAGCAAAACTGCTTCATTAAGCTAAAGTTGTTCAGGTGACTATAGTGTCCCTTTAAATTGCTGTATGGATGGTTTGAAAGACACCAGTCACAATATTTGCCTAAACGACCATTTCGACCGTTTAGTACTATGACCAGTTTGCCACAATTCCCTGTTTAGTAAACCCCACTGTGATCTTGCAAGGGTTTCAATTGTGGGGGTAGGGAGAAAATGACACTGTAAAGATTCAATATGACTATTTACACTCAGCAGTTCAATAGTACGTGAGAGTTGAATATAGCTCATATCTCTTTGTAACAGTTTATATTATGAATGCTTGATACAACTAGCAAGGCTGCCCAAAAAGGGGTTTCAGTGGGTCAGGTGGACCTAGGAAGCATGGATATGGATGCTAAAATGCCACTATTAACAAGTCATACATTGTATTATTTGTTTAATTTTTTTAACATTATGTGGCAACCTCCCAAGATGTGTAACTGCCCTGGCACCTGTTAATGTTTCTGGTGAGGATGTGGATAAGACCCCTGTAACACATTCACTCAATAGGAAGTGGGTGCTGGCATTTAAGGTAATAATAATAACAAAGTGTTTAACCAGGAAAGGTACATTCAGATTGCTCTGGTTTCCAAGTATGTCCTGGGGATGTTACCTTAGCCCAACATCCAGGGGTTGTTACTATCACCCAATTTAATGGTACTCATTTTATCTACCTCAGAAGGATGAAGGGGTTAGAACAGATTTTGCTGTTGCATTAGCCCACTGAGCTATTTCACCCACTGAGCTATTTCACTAGCCTTTCTTGGCACTTGTACACAGAACCTAGGCACTAGGTACAGGAAACTCTGTAGCCCCTCTCCTTCCCTCTGCACCACCAAGAATGGTGTGTAGCAAGGACAGGAAATGGACAAAATGAAGATAAATTACACATGAACGTGTCTTTTTGTAATTATGAGAACGTGCATCCTTGTGTATCGGTGAGTGTCTGCTATTTAGATAGATCTGTGTTTAGAATACTATGTACATCTGTGTGTGACCTTTTTGTGAATCCTTGTATGTTAATGCAAGGACATATTTTTATCTGAGTCCTTGTTGCGAGTCTTATCGTTTGTGTCCTCTATGTGAGTTGAATGTGACTCTGTGTTGGTGACCTGGTATATGAGTATTATTGTGTGTGACTGGTTTGTGGCTTATTAGACATTTTAAAGTTTGTGCAGCATGCGATGTAAGTGAGTTTCTAATGATCTGCATATGTATCTTTATTGTCAGTTACTCAAGTTCAAAGCTATGGTCAAAAAACACCCGGGGCTTGAACCCAAAAAAATAAATTGGTGACCACACCTGGCCCCTACCCAACACGCCTCTTTGCACACTCACTGTTATTTACATACACACAGACATGCACAACTCAGTCACACACAAAGCGAGACATCGACATACCGTCAGGCATGCACAGGCCGATACGAAAAGATTATAGGCACACAGACAGACACACACAGGCACTTACAGTTATACACACATTCACACAAAGGTACACGGGTATGTATAATATCTAATAATGGTAGCACTCACAAGTATCCCAAAACGTGATTATTGTGTGACAATTCAAACATGATATATGAAACAAGCATTCAGTTTAACGTTTTGACCATACTGGGTCATTATCAAGACAATTTCCAACCCAAAACATACATATTTACAAGAAAAATAACAGAGTAAAATAAGTGCACATACCAACTGAAACATTCAAACTCCTGTTATTACCATGTATCTGGACTCGGACGTGATATCTCCAATAAAAAAAAAAGCATTATAGGACCCGCCATGTAATGTGTGGAAACAGACATACAACAGTTGGTATGATGGCCTACGTACCAATGTAAATCAGTGATATCAAAGCTTGAACTAAGTGAAAGATATTAAGAAATATGCAATTGTACATGAAGTATTCTAAAAAAAAAAAAAGGTCAAATATAATAATGGTAAACACTATCCAAAACTGTCAATTATTATTTTATTATACGTTTTAGAATAAGGGTGTTTGCCTTATTCAGATAATAGTGATTCTCCCTTTTATGGTTATCATGTTTATGTGCATTTTTCTTCATGTCTAGGATATTGCATATACACAAATTTATACGATTACGGTGGTTTCTATTGTACGTATTTAATACTTGGTAATCACAGACTCTCGCTGGTATGTAGGTCGCCATAGCAACCGTTGCATTCACATTCTTGTATATCATGTGGTACATCCTATTCAGGTGTTTGCCTTTGATGATCATTGTGTTTATGTAAATGTTTTTCTCCATGTTTGGAATATTGCATGTATAATTGCATATTTATTTGAGATCTTTCACTTGGTTCACACCTTGGTATCACGGATTTACATTGGTACATTAGTCGTCATAGCAACTGCTATATGCACATTTCCACACATCACATGGTGCGCCCTATCACACGGGTTCTGGTTTCGTATACGTCAGTTCTAGGTCCTGATATACAGTAGTCACGGGGTTTAAATGCTTTTATTGGGAAGGGTAATTATTATGGTATGTTTTTTTTTCTTATAAATATGCACGTTTATGGGTTGACAGTAGTCTTGATAATGACCCATTTAAGTGAGAATTGTCAAGAATTCAAAGTGAATTTCAAATTAAAGCCAACATAGACAAATTTTAGGTTTTGCTGTCTTGAAGGTTATTTTTTGCAATGCAGCTAATTTGGCTTTAAAATTGAAATTTAATATGAACAATTCTTAATTTAGTAAATTACAAGATTCAAAAAAATTGTACATAGGACAATGACCCCTCAGTGCCCTTTAAAGTAGGCACCTTGGGACGTCACACAGTTCTCCCAGCATTTCTTCCACTGTTCAAAATACTCTGCAAAACCTTTTGTTGGAATCAACATCAGCTGCCTCGTCGTATTTACCTGAAAGTGATGGATTCACTCCCTCTGATTACCTTCGGGCATGTATTTGGGACATCTTGCCATTCCCTGATAGTCCAGTGTGGAGAACCTCTGCATTTTTAAAATTCAATGCATCTCATGAGCCTCTCTTCTGGCACCGTTGCAGTTAGATGTATTTGAATATACTTCTATGTGTGAGTATATTGCTAATTTAATAAGTATTCATTCATTAGCAGTTTGTATACATGTGCATATTAGGTGGATGTAAATGATTAATTAGGTGTGCATGTATATGTGTGCGGCAGATAAGATGTGTTCAAGAGGTAAATTATAAATCCATGTATATGTGGATAATTGGGATTATGTGAAAATATAGTATTGCCAACACCACAGATCATGGAAGTCCGCCCACCCCCCAAAAGTGCCCGAGGTAATTAACCCCTTAAGGACACATGATGGAAATATTCCGTCATGATTCCCTTTTATTCCAGAAGTTGTGTCCTTAAGGAGTTAAAGATCTAGATACACAACATACGAATCCTCCTACAGGTCAACTTTCCCCCTTTCCCGAGCTTCATGGCAAAATTGGGACACATGGAGATCTGGTGCCTAAGGCTCTGTATAACAAGGGTCTTGGTGAATACATATATAGCCCATTTCATGAGCTCCATTATTTAAGGTATTGTCCTATGTATACTATGTTTGATAAGTATGGTATGCAAGACGATTCCTACTATTTTTATGCCGATTTACCTGCCTATACTTACAATGTATAACCCTATTACGTTGTATAACCCTACTACATGTATGACACATCTAGGTGAGCAACACAGCTCAGTTGAAGTTGACCTTACTAAATAACTTTGTACCTGTAGTGGAGCCCTAGTCCTAGCAGGGACTCTCCTCCGCTGGTTACACAAAAAAAAACACATTCCCCGATCTGAGTGACCAACGTATCCAAGAATCACTCAGATCTGTTCGGTAGAACGAGAACGCCATCCTGTGGAAGTTTTGACCGGCCAGACATGAGGCGCAGGCCCAAAATAGTTCCAGGGAAATATGTGTCTTGGCCGGTCTCCGTGCGAAAACCATGCAAGGGAATCTCTCGCTTTCTGGGTACGAATGCTCCCCCTGTTCGGTAGATTATATCTCCCGAACGCCGTTCGTGTGGGTGATCAGGAACAGGAAGGGCAGCGGTTGAAAGTTTACCAGTGTTCGCGCGAGTGCCTAGCCGAAAATATTTCCAGGCATTTGATGACCAAGTACCGCTGCCCTCGTTCGGGAGACAAGATGGCCGCCATTCTCTCAGGCACGTGTTTGGTTATACGAAATGGCGGCCACCAAGGAGAAGCACTCATTATTTCCCTTCCGGTTTCCCACTTAAATTGTTGGTGTTAATGTTCTAATGGGACACAGGGGTGGTCCTTGTTCGGGAGACGAATTGATTCTGTTCGTATGAAGTCTCCCGAGCGGCCAAAGAAGAACCACACGAAATAACCAGGGAAAAATACACTAAATAACAGGGGGAAGATACGGACAGACAATATAGGGGATAAAAAGTAGCTTGCACGTGTCCATTCTGCTACATTACCATTGTACCTATTCATAGATACTGTACCTTTTTGATCCAACGGTTAATGTGGCTAATTATTGTACTAGAGTGAATACTCCCCTCCCCGACACCCACCCTTTTTTCTTCCTTCTGTACCCCCTCCAATGCTGTTTTAAAAATAAAAACTTTTTAAATGAGGAAATAAAAAACATTGCATTGCTCAATATGGTTCCAGGTGAGAGAGAAGGGCGTTCAATGCTTTTTGCGATTTCACGGTTTTAACTGAAATAATTTATATGCACTAATTTTAAATCGCATATTTCTGTTGTGGATTATCTTCGGAATCTGATGGCGCTATATAAATAATAATAATAATCAATGCAATAGTTGACTTTGTTGTCATTATTGATCTACCCACAGTCAAATTGGAGTGTAAAGGCTAGAGTTAGAGCAATATCATATATCTTATCAATGTCATCAAGCTCCAGAGTCCCCTCTCTCCAAGCCCTCCCTGTCTCTTCTATTTAGAATAAGACCATTTTTCAAAATAGGTGTTTAAATCCCAGCCTCCACTTCCTCCTCTTTGTGGCTCACATGCGCAAATGAGAAACATTTAAATTGGACCTTGCGAAGGAGGACATCAATAACACTAAATGTACCAGTTTAGGATTAAGGTTATTGTTACAGGGTTATTGTTAGGATAAAACCTATTTAATAAATTAGAATTAGGGTTAAGTTAAAGATGATATTATGCTAAATTATAACCTAAACCTCAATTAAGGGGCATTCTTTTTTTTTTAAATTCTTTATTTTTATCGTGCTTTGAGTATATAACAAGCAAGCTCGTGGTGCCCCAATAGCATTCCCCGAGCATGTTTTCAGACTTAACAATTGGAACAATGAACTTATCAGCACATTTTATAGTGTTAAAATAATGTCGCTCAGAACAGGATGTAAGCAAAAACATGTTACAGTAGCATAGGTTTTGATCACAAGAGGTTTAATAACATGTCTAACTTAGTTAAATCAAGCAATATCTGCACTCGAGTGTCGGTGGTGTAAGCTTTGCCCTCCTCCCCTGGGTGGGGTGGGGGGAGATGGTTTGTGCATGGTTGACCTCTCAAAGAGAGGCATAGCCCCTGACCAAGGGGGTAGCGGGGGTGGGGGGGTGTGTGCGCTTCAATGATTGGTCGTGTGTGGCTAGATGCAACCGGACTAGGGTCATAGCTGGCGCAGCTTCGTGAGTGTTTGGGTGTAGTGAGCCTGGTGTCTCTCTGCCCAGTGGGCCCAGGCGGGAAATTGTGTCTTCTAATGGGTGAGTCTACCGCAGGGGACATAGACATACGGTATATATAAAAAAAAAAAAAAAAAATGATAACACAAGAACAAGCAGAACTGTACATCTCTACAACTTTGCAACTTTGCAGCCTAGGGCTGCCGGATCAGTGAGTCCCTCCGTTAGGTTTGGACCGGGCTGGAGATGTCCCTGCCAGTCAGGAATCAGGTGGGCAATCGGTTACAGTTCTGGGCACAAATGGTACCACTCTGGATGGGTCCCATCCGTGTGCGCGATTTGAGTCCATTGGTGCTACCGTTGCCTCTTGCATGTCTAACGCTGCAAGGAATGCTGGGATATCAGTCCCCGTAGTTAGCCGTTGCGTGGACCCCTTGTACGAGACAAGGAGGGATCGTGGTGTTCCCCACCTGTAGGGCACTCCTGCTGCCCGCAGTCGGGTGGTGACAGGGTTCAGAGATTTTCGCCATTGTAGTGTGGCCTTTGATAAGTCCTGGTAGAAGGACAGTTGCGAGTCTTCAAAGGGCAGTGGAGTCTTGTTTCTTACCGCTGCCATTATTTGCCCCTTATCTTGAGGTAGTGCGCAGCGGAGTATGACGTCGCCGGGCGTTTTGGCGGTAGTTAAGGTAGACGTTGGTATTCGATATAGCCCAGCTATGGTTATTTTTTTAGCGGTAGCCGGTGGCAGTATTGAAGCCAGCAGCCTTCTGATGTAGTGTGGCAGTTCCTCTTGGGGGACCGTGGCCGGGATGCCCCTTATTTTTACGTGGTTGCGGCGGTACCTATCCTCCTGCGCTGCCACTTGTAGTGTAAGGGCCTGTTGGGCTGCTTGTAGTTGGAGTATAGATGCCTGCATGGCAGATGTGTCTTGGCTTAGCTCCTTAATATTTGTTTCAGTTGCCTCCATTCTGCCTGTTAGTTGATGTAGGGATGATTTTAGGATAGGCAGGTCTGCAGTGAGGAGGTTTTGAATGTCCTGTAGCATAGTGTACAGGGTTTGGAGGTCCTGTTTGGTTGTAGGTTCAGAATTACCTGCTGATGCTGTGGGCTGTTGCTGTGAGCTCTCTGTTGTGTTCTGCAGCTGGAGTGTTGCAGATGCCTCTGTGTGGGGAGCCTCTGGTGAGGTCGGGCCTTCCGCGGCCGCCATCTTGGTGGAGGTGTGCCGTTGGAGCATAGCTCCTATGTCCCTCTGTTCTGGAGCGTTGCTGGGGGTACCCTTCTGATTTCTACGCCCCATTGCTGTGTTAGCAGGTGATGTCAGGGTCGGCCACCACTCGGCTGTGTTTCCCGCGGGGTCCCCGCCCCAGAGAAACTCGAGGTCGCGGTTGGCGGGTGTGTGGTAGGCCCCGGTCCTGCGTCTTACTTTTAAATGCCTCGGGGAGTACTGGAAGGGCATCTGGGGGTTCGGTGTGGTGTCCCCAGGTTGTAGCTGTTGCTTACGCCGGCGGATGGCGGCTAGTCTCCAGGATATTGCCTAGATTGCGAGTGCGATCGACGGAGCTGGGAGAGATGGCGTCCGGTCCGGTTCAGCGCCAGGCTCCGCCCCCCAATTAAGGGGCATTCTAAGCACCAAAACTATTACAGCCTGTTCTCTGTCAAACCATTTTAGAATGGTTTAACAGAAGCCAAGGAACTCCCTGCACCTATAGCCTTACCTTTACTCTGCGTATAGTTCTTATGGTGCTGGTTGAGCTGTTAGCACTTCGGTTCTTTGTAAAACCATTTTTGAGCAGTTTGACACAAAGCCAGCGGCTCTCAGACTCCCGCGACATATGAAAATTACACTTCTGCATTAGCGATGTCCATTTTCTATTAATTTGGAAGCTTTCGACTGGCTGAACTACACACTTGACAGTAGCCAAATAGTATCAGACTGTAGTGCTTATGGTGCCAAGAGCGTATATTTTGGTGCTATTAATGTTTCTATAGTTTCGAAGTTTCTATTTTGTATGTTACACAACGCAATCTCCTGTTTGTATTGTGTATGTTACTACCTCATGCAATTCACATAATTATACTGCCAAGATTCTGAAAGGGGTCCCATTTTTCTTTGCTCTGGGGTATTTGGGCAAATTTTAATAAACATCGCTTCCAACATTTACAGTGAACACAGTGGGACAGTTTAATGGTAGGTGTGTGAATGGGGTGGGCCAGGGGTGAGGTGCTTTTCTGAGACATTTTAGGTGACTAATTAATAATTAATGCAACTAAAATGTATTGTAGCCCAAGGCCAAAGTATTTTATTTACACAGACTGATTCACAAACACATTTGGACAACAACAACAACTGTCCAACTCTGGCCTGAACTGTCCCTTTAATGCTGAAATGCTCCTAGGAGCCTAAGGGACAGTTAGACTTCCAGACCACACTTCTGATTGGACACAAGTTTTCCCGCCCAGTCATTTGGTGGCCGTTGCGCCACGCCCATTTCCCTACTTGCCCTCTTGCGATTGGCTAAGGCAGGCGAAACGCGTTTCCTGCCGCATTTGACAGGCGTCCTCTCCTTCGCCCCGCCCCCTTATTGGCGAACGGTGTGAAATACCGACCAGCCCTTGGCTTCGTGGAGCCGTTCCGATTGGCTGGCTCCGGGGGGTGGGTGTGGTGACGTCGCTGGGGTCGTTGGCTGACTCCTCCTGCCTTTAGGCTGCTGCGTCACTCGGGCCGAGGTGCGGCCCGAGGATAGAAGGAAGGAGGACGCTCCCCTGCCCGGACCCCCCCGGGAGAGGAGAAGAGGCAGACACCGCGCCACAGCCAGGGCAAGAAGAAGAGGAGGAGCCGGGGGTGGAATCTGAGGGGATCCCGGGGTGAGGGGAGCACCGTGAGAGAGGAACAGCAGAGGCCAATTACCATGAGAGGGAGACAGGCGCAGGAGAGGCCATTGGCTTCCAATAAAATGACAATAACGGCAAATTAGCATAGACCCCTCCATGCCCTCCACCCACACAGCCTGCAACAAAGACTCTGCACTCACAGGGCAGGAAGGGGTTAATCTGCTCAATGGGGGGGACATGGGGGGAGAGGGGGGGCTGTCTGGATTAATATAGTAACTCCATTGGCAATACATTGAATAAAGGGAGAAAAAGGGGCAACTTCAGATAACACTGGGGGTTGGGGGTATTATTTATTTATTTTTAACAAATTCACTACATTTAGAGTAATTTTAAAATTTCAGATTTTTTTTATTTTTTAAATCTAAAAATCTGATTTATGTCAATTTATGGTATGAGGAAGCAGATTGATTATATATTTAATTTATTGAAAAAAATATATATATTTAGCGCAAGAGAAATACACAGTATTGGAGTATGTCATCTTGTTTTTTTTTGTTTTTTTTTTTAAAAGCAAAATAAAATTTAAAAAAAAAACAAGAGGCAGGACAAGATGAAATACTTTATTTAATACCGGACTTGACCTGTGAGTCTTTTGAGTATAGTCTCCTCCAGCAGTGGCCAATGTGAATATAGGAGCACGGTAGTTAGGTTTTTATATGCTGAGTTATAGTGCATGCTGGAGGTTGTTTTTATCGCTCCTAAAATTTAAAAGCAGGCTGGCCTGTTGGCTAGAACACCTATGGCGCTCTTATATGTGCGTCCAATGGTGTGATTATGGGAGTTGTGGCTACGTCTTGTCTAGCCATTCTGACAAGAACAGGCTGATATCCTGAAATAAACCAAGAGAAACGTTATAGGCATTGATTGACCTACCCCGTAGGAGAGCGCCATGATGGAAAAGAGATTAGCGTAATATTGGGTGAAGAAAATAATTTCAATGTGCCAGGCCTCAACTGTTCCTCTCTCTGGTTTTGTAATTAAAATATTCGTTTTATGTATTACGAGTTTCACTGTATCAGTTTCATCAGCTTCATCTCATTTTATAGAATGCGCCTTGCACGCACACCACGCATTTGTAGAGTCTCATACAGCCTGTTATTTTTATCAGACATTGACACATTAATTCTGGTAACTGATTAAAGGTGCAATCCTAATATTGGTCTTTCTGTGCTTTATATATAGAGCTGTGTGCTGTTGAATTGTTTTTCTCTTTTCAGGTGGCGTTTTTCGAGTCACGGTAAAATGATGTATTTCAATTTGTGACTTGTATGTGTTGGTGAAATGTGCTAAATGTGCAAATAAACCTTTCTGAATGTTTTGCGTGCTCTCATTTCTCTTTTTTTAAAGGCGGGATTGCACCTTTAATATATCACATGTTTATTTTTTTTCACGTGATTATGCATGCCACGTATGTGACACTCATGATTAGAATATGTGGTCCTCCAATCTTCATTACAGCCATCAATGTAAATCCGTTTCATAGAATGTCTGTATCCTTTGTTAAATCTAGCATTGTTTCAACAGATCAGTAGACTAGTTTTTATCGTTATGGATTCTACATAAATAAGCATCAATTCTTTATCAACTCAGTTCATCCAGATTGTTGATTCTCATTCTTCATTTGTGATGCACATTGGATTGCGTGAAGCAGAAATTAGAATGGAAAAATTTGGGACATAAGATTCCTTCGGTCACAAAATGACAATGTGATGTCTTACCATTGATAGTTACGCTAGCTTAAATAAAATTACAATGTCCCAAACATGCTTGAATTTGTAAAAATGTAACCGTAATTTGACATTAAGCACCATAGTCTTTATGGAAGATATATAATTTTTTTGTTAGTGGCTGATTAGTGTTGATAATCATGTTTACACATGATTAATAGGTTCTATGGCTCACTTGGCTGTATGATACATCTTATCATACAGTCCTGGAACGTGTGGCTGTCAAGGGTTGGCGCGTTCAGTACTGCCAGTTCCATCTGGAACGTGAGCTGCACAACTTCTTGCCTAGAGGGATGTTTGGTTCTCGAGATAATGATCAACATTATTACCCAATTAACTCCTGTTTAAAGATGCAGAGTTAATTGGCTAATGGTGTGTATATTGGGAAAATGCCAAAAATTACTGTAGGATAGAGACTTGGGAGAAAGATGTCTACTATAAATCGAGGTTGGTCGAACCCAGGTCTTCAGGCTAACCCTTGATATATTGCTATGCAAAGTTAATTAATAAAGTCATAAAACAGCAGGAGGTTAATTCCCTGCGAGATGAGTTGGAGATCTTCACTTTTCATTGACGCGATCCTTACACTGAATGCTCATTATGCAAGTACTGTGTAATGACATTTTTTTTTTTTTTTTTACGGTATTGATTTAGGGAACTTATTTCTTAATTCATCAACTAATCCCTCAGTGCAGTCTTGCTTTTTGTAAAACAGACTTTTTGAATTGGAGGTCTGACCAGCACAGGGGTGGGTTGCCAAAAACACATTCTAAACTGCCAACATCCTTCACTAAAGTGGAAATTGTTGAGAATGCAAAGTGGATTTTCATTTTATGTCACACTAGTTAAACTTTAAAAGTTCTCCAAGTCATCTTTTTTTTTTTCATTTTGCCTATTTTAGACAAAATTGTGAAATGCACAATTTATTACAAGTCTAACTGTCTGATTAAAAAACCACATGTGCGTTCAAACTGAAAAAAACAGCGAAACCTCCATCTGGGCATTTATGAAAGTTAAATGACTCCTACTTGTAGTGAATTAAAAACAAAACCACAAAATTGCAGATTTGGAAGAATTCTCCACCTCCGTTGTAGTCTCGGCTGTCTTAGCCTAGATTTTGCTATTTGGATATCAAAACGCTATAACTGGCATATAAGCCAGTAAACGTTTGTAACCTTTTGTATATTCTACTGTAAAACGTCGGATATCTGATGTGGGGAATCCACTGATGGGCTTAAGGTGGGTGTCTCTCACTAGGTGCATTCTTGCGAACAGTGCATAGTAATGAGACCATTTCTAGGCATTGTATCAGTCACAGATTGCACTGATTTTTGTTTATGTGAATTTTGGATTTTCTTATATGCAATATTGCTATTACTTATATTTATTCCATATTGTAAGTTAATCTTCACTGTGCGGCAGAGTAATGCATTATGGGTTCTGCAGGCATGCTCTCCGTTATTCAGTACAATATGAATTGTTGGGATTCCAAAGTGAATTTCCTGAATTATGAAATTCACTTTGAGATGCTTACAATTCACAATATAGTGAATAAAGCTGTCACAAGTTATAGTACAGGGAATTCCATGTGCAACAAACCCATAACTTGTATGTGACTACTCGGTCACTTCCATAATGAATTCAGACGGCCTATCTAGATGCAATGTTCAGCTGCTATGGACTTTCACACGATTCCAAGTGTAAAATAATGTCAGAGGTGACTTTTGTTAACTAGGAATCCTATAATTTCTAATGTCTCTCTTTTGTCACAATCTCCTGGAAACCACCACTCGCCCTCCTTTCTTTTTTGCATACAGACAATGTGTGATGGAGGGACGGGAGCCCCCGACCCGACCAAACCGTACGACGCCCGCTAGTCCAAGGGTGACGCCTGCTCTGGTGAAAAGGCCACGGTTCCAGACTTTGGCTCGTTTCTGGGAAGGTCAGGATGTCCTGGCACGATGGACAGATGGACTTCTCTATCTGGGAATAATCAA